ACGGACGAATCACAGTGGAGGGGTAATGTTAGCGTTAGATTAACATCTCAAGAATAGTCGGGTCCCGTGTGATATACCTAACACAGTTATCGTAGACGTGGAAGCTTTGACTGATAATATCAGGATGATAGGGATCTACTGGCCTAAGGTTCAAAAGCGTGATGTGGATGATCTAAAACCATTTTTAATCAAAAATACAACCATTTCAATGCAGCTGTAGAGGAATGGCGTACACCCTATTCTGATAGTAGAGGAAAAAAAGTTAAAAGAGTGGATAGACGGAAATGGTTTGGAGTACGTTGAGGACTCGGAAAATTCGTCTAAAAGATCGGAGAGAAATATAGATTTTACTTTTGTAAATTTTGAAGGTATTAAAGGAGAAACATTACGATTTGGTTCGAATGATTACTGGCCTAATGCGTATAAAATTGAAAGTATAGTGTTCAAGACAGATGGCCTCTTCCCCATAATATCGTGGTCTTTGTATCAAGTTATTTTATTGTTACTACAGAATTTTTGGAAAGATAAACAAAAAATGAATTAATAGCGACGGAATGGTATGAGTTGTATATTAAATTTTTGTCCGCACTTAAATCTAGATTGACAAAATATATTACCAGAGATAAATATAAACCGGCTTCACCGCAATACATCTTGGGAATATTAAAATATATTCGAAAAGTTCGGAATTTATATTATCGTTATCATTCTGAAGCGGTTAGAATTGCTCTTCGAAATTTAACCCGAGAAGTTAGAAAGGAAATAGCTTTGTATAAGTCGTCCACATGTAACTGTTTTTTATTATCTATTAATAATGCTCACGAGCAGTCCAAAACTAATTTTTGGTCCTTTTTATCACAAATCTACCGTCCAAAAACGCTATTAATCTCTAAATTGCAAGTAAAAAATGAAATTATCTTAGACAAAAATTGGATTGTGGATAGGCTTTTTGATTATTATAGAAAGCAGTTCTTCCCTAACGTCCCGGGGATGACGAAGCAGGAGTTGGAGGACATTAAAATGATGATGAATAACTGTCAAGAGCCAATTAGTAAAACAACAGTAAACCCTCTCCCCCATAATAGAAGACCATCCCCTATTAGAAGTCTACTACCGACTATACGACTTGAAAGCCAAATAGAAGACTATGGTCTTCTAACTCCTAGAAGACCACCGCGAAAAAAATTGGAAAATGTCATCCCTATAAGGGAGTTTTCAAAAACATTTGGCCAAAACGTATTTCTAATAGGGGATGGACTTCAAGTACGTGGGGGTTACCGTTGTACTACTAGCAGGCGACAAAATTTGACCGCAATAGAGGACCCCCCTTTAGAACTCGACTTGGGGGACAAAATAGAAGACCAGGTGATCTTCTATTATGAGAGGGCGGGGGGTAGTTGAAGTAAATAAAGTTATAAGAAAACTAAAATCGAAAAAGTCCTCGGACTTCGGTACTATTTCAAAATTCATGTTAAAATTGCTACCCTTCAGTTATCGAAAATATCTTGCTGTATGTTTTAATGAGTAGCTTACCGATGGTAAATTCATTGATACATGGAAATTGACAAAAATGGTAGTTTTAATTAAACTGAAAACAGGTATACCCAGCCCTGATCAAACTCGTCCTATCTCATTACTTTCAACGCACTCAGAAATATACGAGAAAATTTTATTAGTACGAATAAAACGCTGGGTCGACTACAATCATTTTTTACCGATAAACCAATCTGGATTTAGACTAAAATATTTATTACAAACAAGGGTTTTATCCATATATCAAAACATTAATAAGAACCTTTGTGCGAATGTTCCGTCGCTGACAATCGTCGTGTACTATAAAAAAAGTGTATGATCGTGTCGTTCATGAAATTTTTATTATAAAACTATTTAAATTAGGTGTGCCGTTAAATTTACTGAGATTTATGTGGAACTGGCTTCGAGACTGTAAGGCGTGAATTGTTTATGGAAGATGCAATTCCGAATTTTTTCTTATTGGAATAGGTTTGCCATAAGGCAGCTCATTATCACTCATTTTGTTTATTATATTTCATTGCGATCTACCGAATAAATTAGGAGCACATTCAAATCATTTATTCGCAGATGACTTATTAGTAGTAATCACACCACCTTTTAGACCAAAAGTCAGTGAAATGTTGAAATTTTTAGAAGAAGGAAATAGAGTTTGTGAAAGAATTTTAAATTATGCAGTTATGCAGGAGCAGCCTATTAATTACAATAAAACGGTTTTTCAGATCTTCCACAAACATGTGGCGAGACCGACGATTTCGTTATTTATGGATGGACTGTTTTTCTCTAGAGCAAGTAAAGTGATTTAAATACTTGGGGGTCATATGGACCGAGAAGTGGTCCCTTCGTCTTTCGTTGACGACGCGGTCAGAAAAATCCAAAGATCCTACGGTTAATTAAAATGATTGTCTAAGTCCAAAGAAGTTTCGATAATTATGAATAGAAAATGTTTCTTTGCATATTTATTTCCTTTTTTCTCCTGACTTTTTCCGATATATCCATTCCTACCGAAATCTCATCTAGAGTCGTTAAATCTTAAATTTCGGGTTGGTATTAGACTAGTTTACCGTTGCCCTTTTGCTGATGGGGACGAGCTTGTTGAATTATGCAAAGAAGAGCTGAAATTTTACGTAGCAAAGTATGTTAAAAAAAGGCTTGAACGTTGTTACGACTCGGATCTCTGTATCTTCCCAATCCTCGAGAATGTTTTCTATTGGGATGGTTTCAAACCAAATAAAGGTCAGAATCTAAGCCACTTCTGTTCGACGAAAAAGTCAAACAGCTCTTAAATAGACATGAGTCGGTGCTAATATCATGACTAACTTTTGTGGATGAGGTAATAAAGTGAAAGAAGAAATTGATTGCAGTTTTAAATGTATAATAAAATATAAATGCTTCAAGTTTAAAGCTGTCGATAATCCGTTTGAAACAAATCATCAATATGGAATACATTCGGTTTCCCGATTGAAGCAGATGAAAATAGTGAATTTGACGTAATGAAACAAATGACTAGCTACAAGGTGTCATGAATAACCGGGAAATAATAGACGGGTCAGGACGGGACGTCAATAAACCTCGTCGCGTGCACCTCTGGTGCACAGATACATTGTACACTTCATGTCGTTTGTATAACCATTATCTTGAACATAGTAAACACTTAAATATTAAGTACTCTATTAGTATCAGCTAAATCATCGTCAAACACCTATTAGAAAATACTTTTCCAGGTAAACTATAAATTATTCTTTAATTCGAAATTTGAATCAACAGTATAAGATTTCCTGATTTATGGGATTAGTTAAATAATACTTAGAAACTTTTGCTCGATGTGCACCTTTTTTATCAGTGATGAGAATCGATGAAAGTATCCATTAAGAGTCATTACACGGTAGAGACAGCCGTTTCTCACATTATGTTACTCAACTAACGTCTGACTTTTTTGTTCCTATTTGCACAGTAGGTAACAGCAACATACTCAGGAAGATTCCCAAAAGTTTTTGATGGGAACTTCCTTCCTTCAGAAGTTATGGAATCTTTTGTAAAAGCCTACAAACAGACCGAAACGATAACTATGTAAAAGTGAAAGTTATTTTGCTTAAATCTTGGTCTAGGAAATAGATCAAGAGACCACATTTGGAGCATAAGTAATCGAGGTCGAGTACTATCTATAGTCAAGAGCGTGTGCAAAAATAACTGTCACACATGTGCGAACATATACGTACAACAAGGAAGAATTTTCCTAGCACGAAGACTTTCGCATAATGTTTTTAACCTGAAAAATATGTTATTGCATATAATATCACTTATATCTATTGTATAAGTGTTTCTCTACTATAAACTATGAATTCACTTCGTACAAGTTCTTTGATTGTTGTACGAATGAGTTCAATAGGGGGTAGAATATGAAAAATGGCCTATTTGAAGAACGATTTTCTCGTCCGATACCTCTGGAAATTTTGGCGCTCATATGCCAATGATCAGTACTCATGTCAGGCTGTCAGATTATACATTCGGATTTATGGCATATTCAACTTCAGTTTTGCTGGTGTGTTACAACAGTTCCTAGCAAAATCTGTTTCGATCGACTGTTCAATAACTTTTGGGAATCTTCCTGGGTATGTCGCTGCTACCTACTGTGCAAATAGGAACAAAAAATTCAGACATTGGTTGAGCAACTTCGGTCGTCCCTAACGTGGATTGACTCTTAATTGTACTATTTGATATAGTGTAAGCATTTATTGAACAACTATAGGCAATAATGAAGATCTGTCCTTTTATGTGTTCTTTTTTTCCAGCATTAAGGCATGTCCACTATCATCTTTTAATCGCTGAAAGAGAGAGAAAAACAAATAATCAAAGAGAATTCTGTCCTTTTGAATTAAAAAACACAAAAACCAACAAAAACAGGAAAAGTTTGAAAAATCAATGCAAAAAAAATGCGCGCACACTTGTAAAAACGAAATGAATATACAAAACACAAAAACAAAAAAGGCTGGATTTCGTTTGACGTATTGCAGAAACAGATTCTCCCTTTTTTTTATCAAAGTAGTGGAAGCTATTGCGTTTTATAGTAGTATAATACATGTTTTCGTTTCTTTTTTTTTTATCACACTCAAAATAGAATAAAACAAACATGATTGCACGAAAATATCCGTTGTCACAACTAAAGTTGGGTTTATCGCAAAAAAAAAACAAGCTAATCTTCCATAGGAAGTAAGACTTTCTGAAAAAAACCGGTGTCCACTTGGATTTTGTGTAGGATCGTCGAGAAAAAGAAAAAAAGAATCATCAATAATAAATTTGCGGCTATTCAGATATATGAAAAGAAAAGTCATGAGTGAGAAAAAGATAAGAGATAAAATATGAGAAAATGTGAACAATTAAAAAATGCTTCATTCGGTATATAAAATAACAATAACAATAAGAAGTATCTGAATGTTGTGTTCACTGGTGAGATATAAAACAAAAATATATCAGTCTAAACGACGTAAATTTTTTAACGCACATTTAGCACTGGCATTTTTCGCAATACGATAATTTCTTCCAACACCTTTAAATCGACCTTTGCCTATTATTTCAACTGTTACACGTATACGGCCATCGAGTAAACGTTCAGGTTTTCTAAACAAAAAAATAAAAAAGAAATTTTGTATAAAAATGTAACAATATTAAGATTTTATGAGAATGCGTTTTATTTACTCAAATTTAACTGTTTCTGGTTCAAGTTCTAATAATTCTCGAATAGGTGATTTCGGTACTTTTGCTGTAAATTTTTCAATAAACGGTTTCATCATTCTATAATAGACCTTCCATACAGAATTAAATGATTTATTTGAATCAAGAAATATTGCGCCTAAATTTATAAAAAAAAATGAGACGAATTGTTTTTTTTGTTGTAGAAAAAAACAAAAACAAATCCGATTTACTGACTTACCGGCTACGGATTCAAAAATATCTCCTAAACATTTTGGCACTTCTGTTTCTTCCCATTCATCATGTTCGGTTAACAATTGTTCATCATCTTCATTTGTATTATTGATATTTGTTAATGATGACTGAGGCTGTTCTCCATTTGCCACAGTAGCAGCAGTTGAATTGGTTACATCATCATCATAATAACAATTATAATTTGATTCATTATTTGTTGTAAGAAAATCATAATAAAAAAATTCATCATTTTCATCATCATCTAAATTACATTCATCAAAACCCCACCATTTTTCTTTTTGTGTATTAACGAATTTATCAATTAATAAAAATAATTCATTTGAATGACAGCGAAAATATTTATGATAATCATATTTAACGGCTATATAAGCGAAGATATTATTATTAACTAAAGCGGAACGTAAATCTGTTAATTCACCAGGTGAATGACGTTTTGGATGCTAAAAGTAAACTTGAAATATTGAACAATTAATCTTGTTTTACTATTTTACTTACTTCGTATAGATATCTTGTTATGACATAATCTAATACAGCATCACCTAAAAATTCTAGACGTTGATAACAATCTGTTATTGTATTGTAAGAATAACTGGCATGAGTAAATGCTTGAATTAGATAAGCTCGTTCATGAAAACGATAACCAATTGCTTGTTCAAAACAATCAAAATTATCTTCGTATGATAAAATTTTTGTTCTCGTATCCGGTATTGAATAATCCACAGGTGATGATGGTTTCGGTAATTCTCCAGTTAATTCTGTTCCGTCTTCTTTAAAAACAAAGGAAAAGAGTCGATAAATAGAGAAAAAGATGTCATTTAGAAATCAACATACCTAATCTTATTTTCGGAAATATTCGAACACCAAGCCATGCCATAAATCGTAATGCAGCTTTGGGACCACTGGCAATCAAATAAGCACCAATTAAAGCTTCAACTGTATCAGCAATACTTTTATCCGAGACCATATGTTGAGAACGACGATCAAATGATGGAGTCCAATGACCATGTTGTTGTGGAGATACAGTGCTTGATCCAAACATTGTCAATGTCGATGGTGTAGTGGGTATTGGTATGGGTGAATTTTTATCAGCTGGTGCGTTTCTAATAGTACTACTATTTAATTTAGCTAAACGTCTTTGTTCACGTCTTTCTTGCAATTCAATCCAATCAATATTTGTCGTTGTATCTGATTTTGTCCACATTTCAACGCCCGATGTTGATAACATTCCATACTCAGTTGGTAAGCCAGATACAAATAAAGGACTAAAACAGAACGAATTAGTGAGCTTGCCGAGTAACTGAAGTTTTTCATTGAATAACGCATTTTTTGACTAAAACTTTTTTCTGAGTAACTAAGGTACTCAGAAGCTGGAGAAAATCACTTATTCAGATGCATAAAAGGCAGTTTCTCTACTTAAATTCCTTAAAAAATTTGAGTAAGTCAACATTTTTTGAGTAACTGTATCCAAACGAGGGGGTCGACAACGCTGTGCACTAACACTAAATAGTAAACAAAGGCAAAATAAATACTTACGGTAGCCAGTTTTCATATGGTTCAAATTTACAACTAATCAAATATTCTCCAAAACCATTTCGTTTTCCCAATTTATAAAGATTATAATTGGATACAATTTTTGATCGAAAAAAACTTAATTTTCCTTCGTGAACTTTTGGATATGTACAATAAATATAAACGGTTACAGCTTGTTTTAAAAATGAATCGCCAACAGTCTCCAAACGTTCTAAATCAAATCCGTCGCCCGCATTTGACAATGTTAATGCTTGTAAGAGTAATGCTGGTGATGGTCCAGGATGTGATTCTGGAACATATTCAAAATCAAGATTAATACCCAATGGATCACAATAATCATTAATTATTCCTCCTTGACTATTTGGCTTCATCCATTCACTATCTGTAATACCAGTAGTTGTAATCGTACTGTTGTTATAGTTGTTAACACTGTCTTTGTATTCACTGTCATCACTATCACTTGCATCATCGATATTTAATAAACGTTTCGTATAATCATCCGGTTCAAAATGTAAAACTTTTTGTTTTAAAATGGGTGTATCAACAATTTTAGCAATTGTTGTTTGAACAAGAGTTTCTTGTATCGGTATTTGTTGCTCTCTGTCAATAACATCAGATGGCACTTTTTGCTCTTCTTTCTGTACAAAGAATATTGCAGATGGTTGCGTTTCAATTCGGACATTCCGAAGCCAGTATGATTGTTCTACGGTTGAATGTTTTTCTGTTAGTCCTAACGATGGTAATATAAATACATCGTTGTCATCTTGATTAGCTGCAGACGAAGGTGTTGGCTGAGAATTTGATATTAGTTTTGACAAAAATTTTTTTGATTTTGCTTTTAAATCTTCACCTAAACGTGATAAATCAATTTGATAATTTGTAGATAATTCTTGTTGTTTATTAAAACTTTCATTGTGTAAATTTTTTGGTTGTTTGACGTCTTGTTTTTGTTCTGGCGGTGGATCATAAAATTCTTCCTCATCATCCATATCATCATCTAAGTCAAAATTTTGTTTATGCAAACTACCATTTTCTCCATCTTCACTTTCGTCACTTTCACCATAATCATTTGGACCGAACTGGAACAAAACACCATAGTTACCACTCATCAAAAAGAACACCTCACAAGCAATCAAGAGTTAAACTTACATCGGCCGCATTAAACATGATGCATCCATTTTTTGCCTCATTCCATGCATCATTATCTAAAAATAAACAAAAACTCAAAATTTGTCTTTCTATTTGTTCTCATTTGAATAACATATACATACTCGTCCAATTTTGTGTTGCTTCTCCATTCCAGACTGATATTTCAAAATTCCAATTTGGATCCAACGGTTCTTGATCATAACACGTATCATTGTCTAATAATGCTGAAAATTGTGACTCTTTTTTTTCGTCCCAATCAAATCCTAATTTTTCAAATAAACCTTCATCTGGTGCCCATGCAATACCTACACCAGTTTCTCTCGCAATATCTCGTCTTAATTGTTCAACTAATATTAAACATTGTATACGATAAAGAATACTAGGTAACGCAATAATGCCTTGCCAAAGTTGTGCTGGTATTGGATGAATAATAACAAGTTCTGGTATAAGAAAAACGCCTTGATGCTGATGATGATGATGAGAGGTTGTACCATTCTGTTGTTTATTAGCATTTGGATTTGATCCTCCACCACCTCGACTTCTTGATGTTAACGATTTTAACATTTTAAAATTCATATAACGTGGTATTAATTGATTTAAACGATGTGATGTATGCGAAACACATAATAATGGTTGCGTTTTATTTGTCAGATGTAATTCATATTTGATTTCATAATAAGATGAAAATGTATCATAAATACTTGAGATAGATGGAAATGATGATTGAGGATTTTTATTTATATCAATTGAATTGACCATATAATACTGTGGTTGTGTTGAACGACGATAAGATGGAAGAACAATACGTGTATCATTGAAATCAGATGCATTAAAGACATATGGATTCTCCATTGTATATTTATGTAAATTAATTGTCTGAATAAATGTGATTATGGCCTTTGTTAGAGACCAATCGATCGAATAGCCACAATTTGACAATGGATCTATAATAAACAAATAATTCAATCATATTGACTTTACATTAAAAAAAGAAAGAAAAAAATTCTTGGAATATCTACGAAACTCAAAATGATGTAGCAGAAAAAATAATAGTTTTGTTTTAAATAATAAAGTTATGATGATAAATAACATCGATTAGATACGATTGATTTGATATCAATTTACCTTTTTTCAATAAAATACACATCAAATGACATTTTGCTTGTTCAGGATTAAAATTGACTAATGGTCTATCAAAACCCAATATACCCGAAAATATATAATAGTGTACCGTTTGTAAAATTCTATAATCATCTTCTGTAAACCGAATATTTTTCATTATTAATTGTAAATTGTATGTTTCTTCACCGGCTCGAGAGAACAATGCAAAGGACGGAATCTAAACAAACATAGTTTTCTAGAGAACTTAAGAGGTCAATATCTTTACTCTCTTCATACTTCCAAAAGATAATTAGCAGAAACAAAACCTAAACAATACGGGTTTGTATCGTTTGTATAACTTGTAACTATTTTAAGATTTTGTGATGTGTCTAATGATGATGGAGCGGTTAACGGAGTGGTTAATTCAGCACTAATAGCATATATGAAATAATCCATTGATGAACATGTTTCTTTCGTTGGAACGAGAGGCTCAGGAATGATCTAAACACATGTATATCAATGAGACAGTTGTAGAAGTGTAAGATAACAATAAAAATAACATACCGCTCTACTATATAATTGTTTTCGTTGCATCGAACCAGGTTTGGGCTTTGGTTCACTATAATTTCCCCATTCAGCTATATCCTCTTCGTCAATAACAGAATGTTTCAGATAAAATTGTTCCCGTGTTTCTGGCAGTAAATATTCATTTAATTCACCTAGCCAAAAAGAACAATTGTCAAAATCTTTTTCTACGTTTTGAAGTTCCAAAAGCTGTATGCGCTACGTGTAAGATAGATAACAGACACGAAACAATTTAATCACATTCTCATTGTTCAATAACACACGAAAAGATATTAACAACACTTAAGTCCTACATAAGTAGTAAATATTCAATTAGACATGATAGAAAAAGAAAACAGAAACCTGCTTGTAATAAATGTTCACATAAACGTTTTGCTGCTATTAATTTTGCCTGTTTTAATGTTGGACGTGATGGACCCTAAAAATATACTTTTGTGAAAGAGTAATGAATAACAGGGTAATATTTTTTTATAATACAATACATACTATGATGGTCTTTCGCGCCGGTGAATTAACAGGCAATGATAATATACATTGATAATGATTATTTGGTAACGTTTTAATTTCATTTATAGGAACTAATGATGTTAATGCATCACATGGTAAACGCGCACAGTACCTAATATAGATACGATAACTCCTTCACTATTCATTCTTAGACTACTTAATGTTAGTTTTTACCTATTTATAACTTCAATTGCATTTGGGAATTGATCAGTATCGTTATGTTCTACTTGTTCACTGTTTGTTTCATAAAAGTTTTTCGCTAGCACCTTAGAGAAAATCCTTTCTTATTTAGAAAAGAACAATTGGAAGAGGAATGAGATATTCACAAACTTACTTGTTCGATACCTTTAAAACAGTTGACATTCTTCAAAAATTCATCATATTCATTTTTTTCAACTAACATGAAGAAATGTGGAGATTGAGAACGAGCTTTACCCTAGAAAATTTGAGAAAAACAAACAAAATCTAAATGACCAACTCTCGCCTCTTAACTTACTTTTGACTGAATATATGATCTATAACTCGTTGGAACATTGAATCTAACAACAAGACTACAGTCCGGTAAATCATTTAATTCTTCTAATGAACTTAATGCCACAATAAGATTATTTTCTCCAAGTCGAAATTTTCTCATTACTTCTTCCTATAAAAGTTGATAAACGATAGTAAATAATCAAAATTAATTTTGTTTTAAAAAATACTTACTTGCTTTCGACTATCCATTGGTTGTATTTGTTGTGTATCATCGTTATTCGTATTTGATGGCGTCACTGTTGAATAACCAATTAAAAAATTTGGTCGAATAAATGAAAAATCATCAAATCTTTTTGCTGCATCTTTCAATATTGCATTTAGAACAGCTGTTTCTTGTTTTCTGTCAACAAATACTAATGCTGACCAGCGATGAGTGTTTATAGATGTGGCATTCGATTGAAAACGTTTTAGAATATCAAACAGTGAACGTAGTTTTGGCGTTGTATATTGTTCGATTAATGTTTTTGAATCGAGTGAATCTAATACTGTTTTAATACGACAACGCCATAAACGTAACAATGTACATGTCCAATCTAAAAAGAGTGAATAGGCTTTCGGTGATGATAATGATAAAACAGTCGCTGTTGTATTCGTTCCAGAATGAAGCTGATGGTGGCCATCGATTTGATTCGAAGCCATATTTGATAAACGTTCCAGTTGTGTTATAATTGGCAGGGAACTACGTAATAATGCCCATATGCCTAATTTATCAACAAGACGTAAACATTCATGTAACACTTGACGTGGAATTGTTAACGAAGACGGATTATCATCGGTTGACGGTACGGAATGATTATTTGAATGTTCTAATTTGTCCAAATAAGAAAGAGCATCATGAAGTTCCTGAAAAACAACAAAATATTTTAAATTATTTCTTGAATAATGAAAAATGCAAAAACATACTTGAACAATTTCTGTGGTAATAGCTGGTTGTCTATCACTCTTTGGTTCGCATACAATTATTGTTTCACTTGGTATTTTAGCAAAACGATTTGTCTGTCTACAAATTAGATCTGTAGCAGTGAATACGGATGAACTAGAACAAAAACCAAAAAAAACATTCAAAATAGATATATGTAAATAGTTGTGCTTATTTACCAAAATAGCGTTTTTAAATTTTCAATTCGTTCCTGTAATTGTATTGGCGTACAATAATTTTTTAATAATGCTGTTGTGATTGAAAATAATCTTGGTTCATCTGTGCACTGTTGTTTATATTGCTTTATAATTGATCCATAGGCATGATCACGAATTGCTTGATGACATTCGTCCAAGATTAAAAGTTTAATCTGAGAAAACTCTAAAAGAAATAAAAGAATTATCATCTCTTCATTAAATTCAAATAATAACTTACCAATATAATTTCTGTTCAATAATTCGTAGAATACGGTTGGATGCATAACCAATATCGATCGTGTTTGCATTTCTTGATTCCATTGTTCTTTTTTCCATAATAGAACACCGTGTTCAATTCCAAATGAACCAATATCAACAGGTAAATGACGATGAATTGTTTCAGCCATATCCACTGGATTTTGATCTATAAATAACGCGATAAAATCTGTCATTAAAATGATCTCAGTTCGTTTTATTGTCGATCCTTACCCATAGTCAAACAAACGATTCGTTGGCCGCCATCTTCAATTTTTTTGTTAATTCCATGAAAATACTCTCGTATAACATTAATCATCAAAAAGCTTTTGGATGTTGTACTATGTAGACAAACGATTGTATTTTGTTTTTTAGCATTATTCAATACTTCAATCTGAATAGAAATCACAAAACATGGAAACACTTCTATTTTTTTGAATAATACGGGCAAAATCAATATTTATTCACCTCATATTTTGGTAATGTAAAATTTTCTGATGCCACATCGTCTGTCCATGGCGCGACACGAGATGATTTTCTGCCACTCGCTGCCAGAAGATAAGATTTTACCTTTTCCATATTACACGTCGACATTTCTTAAACTGAAATGATAAAAGTAATATTTATTACTAATTATACAACTTGATAGAAAATCGTACGTGACAGTTCGAAACTGAGATAATCCAGATTAAAATGTCTTTTATAACTAGTCTTTAAAGCTATGATGATGAAGATAATCTTAGATTAGACTAGTTTATTCATGAAAAGTGAAAGATATAAAAGGTCCCCGACCTGTAGTATCAATGACTCGAGCCAGACTACAAAAATGAAATAGGGAAAAAAAGAAAGTAGAGTATGCAACATAGAGATAAGAAACAATGAAAATACAGACAAATAAAATAACGTTAAAGAAAACAAGTAACACGACTTTATTGAATTTTATTACAAAAAGATAATGAGCTAGTGCCTTTTTGAAAGACGTTAAAGAAAAAACAAATAACTGACTCAGAGAATTTATTCCAGTGAGTGAGAGTTCTATAAAAAAAAAGGACAAAACTGTTTGTGAAGAAAGACCGTTAACAAGAGGTGGAATGCGAATATGTTTAGAGCGATGAAGGCGTAAAGGAGTGCAGTGAGGGTGATGAACAGGATAAAAAAATGAAGAGAGGACTATGGTGACGGTAAATTTTAAAAACTGAACAAGTCTAAAATATTTACAGCGAAGAAAGAGGATTGGAAGAGAAAGTTGTGATACAAGTAAAGAACTAGAAAAATGATAATCAAAATTACGAGAAATAACACGAGAAGCAAGTTTACTCAAACAGAGACACAAAACGAACTGTCGTACAAGGCACAACAATAATCCATTTTAGGAAGAATAGAAGAAATGTGGATACGACGCCGAATTTCCGAAGGCTCTCATCTTGGACATAGGTCTATCTACTGTCGTCGTCGAAAAACCCGTCAATCTTTAATAATCCAAAAATCTGCCTCATAACTAACTAGTACGCGATTCATATATTAGTAAATTAAATTGAGTTGTACTATCTTATAGTAACACTACCAATTGATTTTCTACTATTCTGCGCGATAAATTTAATGGTCATAAATTAAGATTGGTCAAGTTAAATTTAGAATATTTAAAATCGAGATACTATGCACTCTATCCGATTGGAAAAAGCAACTCAACGAATCCGAAAGAACCAACTGTCGCTCTTAGCTGTTTAATTAGTGATGAAAAATGTTGAAAGATTGGAGACATCTCTTAAAACCTATTTTGATTTGTGCTTATATAAAACAAAGACGCGCGCACTTCAGTTGACCTCTTGATTCTTTTCTATATGATTTTTGTGCTTAAAATGACCTAGAGGAAAGACAAAGATAGAATGAGTTTGGTGATCTTTTACACGTAAATGTGTTAGGAATGAAAATATCTATTTGCATTTTGTATTTATATATGTATATATTATAGCAAAACGTTTTCATACTTCTAGATCAATCAACAAATTTCGTGTAGAAAAGCATTTGAGCTTAGAAAAGTAGCAAAATGAACGTTAAAAGTAACAATTCGGTAGTGTTAACTGAAGCAACAAATTTTCAACGAAAAAATTCATCAAGTATGTAATACAAATTAAATTTAACGTCTCAAAAAAGTTTCAAAGGTTTTATTTCAAAGGTTATGGCGAAAAAGAAGATGGAAAAAGAAATTATCAAGACTCTGAATTAAGTCCAGCAGATGAAAATGTTAATATTCATTCACCAGGTCATGACATAGCCAGTGATGACAAATTACAACAAAATAAAAAAATTAAATTAGAAGCTGTTGTTCCACAATACACCGTAGAAATGGTCACTAAAGATTTACATAATGCAGAAGATGATCAATGTACTTTAACGTCGTTAGGTAACAAGATGATTTTTTGGGTAAACAAGAAAGTTTATAAGCAAAAAAATTCATTAATTTTTTAGATCGTTTGTTGGAACTGGTAAATAAACGGATTACTTGCGACGATAAAATTGATAAATGTTTTACACTAAACGATTTAAAAGACAAACTTAAACAACATAATTTGAGTCTTATTCAATATGATACGTTTTATCGGTATATTTGATGTTTCTTTTCTTTTATAACAGTATTTGATTGCCCATTTATTTTTTAAGTTTATTACCGCTTCCCATTGAAGTTCATTGTGATGATGGAAAACAAAATATTTATGCCTTACCCGTGGATTCAAAATATTCCAAACATCATCCGGATAAAGCATTCGCGGGAGCAACAATAAACTATTTGAAAGAATTAAGCTGCATATTTGGAGATCAAACTGTTTTCTATTTAAACATAGAAAAAGCGTGTGTTCAATTCGACGAGTTGCAATCACCGTTTTTAGAACGCTTTGACTCTGAGTGTGACAACAAGATTGTGCCATTGAGTAAGTATAATTTTTCTCACTACTTGCGAATTATTCTTATAATATCAATAACAATTTGATTGCTCTAGTTTATTCTGCCTGTTCAATCGATCTTGATTCTGAGCAAGTAACGTCGAATGGACCAACATTTGTTACAATTTCCCCACGGCTTCAAAATTCAATGATAGATATTCAAAATGATTTTCAAACTTTGATTCATTTGAACGAATTTCAGTCATTTGTGAAGACCAATGATAGACGTATCAAACCGATACTTATCCTTGCATCAGATGGTACGTTGGATGTCTTTTATAATTTTGAAAATCTTCTATTTTACTGTCTTATTCTAGGTGGTTTAGATCCAAAATCTTTGCAAACGGTGTCTATTACAATAAATTTATTCAAGAAATTCAATTTGGATTGTTTATTTGTTATAAAAAATGTTCCTGATTGTTTGGTTTTGAATGATTTAGAAAGTCGCATGTTATTACTATCAAAACAGCTTAGTGGTAAATTAGAAGTACTTTTACCATACCAGCTATGCATTGTATCTTTTAATGCTTAGGTCTTATTTTTCCGTACAAATATGATGATACTGATGCGGATAAAAATGAAAATGATCAAAAATTTCGTTAGTATTCGAGAGTAGTTCTAATACAAGAAAATCCGTTCAACTTTTCTCTACTTTGTAGGTCAATGTTTGACTGAAATATGGAATGCAACATCTATCGATGGTCATGAGGTGATTGCACGTTATGAAAACAAAACAACTGCCGATGAGTGCATACCGACTACAACAGATTCAGAATGGTACACAACGCATGTTCGTCAATCAGAGTATTTGTTACAAATCATTAAATGCAGTGATACAAATTGTTGTAAATGGGACACAAATTATATTGATATGTTCAGTCAACGCTTCTTACCTGCACCTGTGAAATGCAACTTAGGTAGTTATTTACGACATTTTACGCTTGGAGATAAACTAACCGTCACTAAGCATCTTTTTGTAGGTCGAGTTGTGCCTGTTGATGATGATAAAAATGGTCGTTTTGCTAATCTGTGTGAACGGTTAGTATTAGATCATTTGATACCAAAATTGGATAATGGAGAAATATCTTATGATTCCTATTGTCCATCGTTACGAAATACAAAGACTGGTTAACGTCTTTATCAAGATTGTCATTTATACACTCCAGGTAGATATTGCGAACAATTGGTTTTGACTTTACTATCTATCTGACGCATCTTCCTCTACAGATATGACTCAACATCAACAATTTATCGTTTCACAGAACACAAATGGGTAGTTTAAGATTAAAAAAATATATTTGGTTGATATGGTGACCAATAATAGATTTCTTGTATATTAAAAGAAGGTTTATTTTTATCTATTTTATCTGTAGGTCATGTTTTATTTTTTTTCAATAGTTAGTTATAATTGTAATGTCCAAATATATTTTATCTTTCTCATTTACGTGTACGTACAGAGCAATGTATAAACAAATCTTAGTTTTATCAAAAAGATGTAGTAATTACTGATAAAAAATAAACTATAGTTGCCATAATACAGTCCGAATAGCAAGTAAATCCCAGTTCTATTATTTACGGAGAAGTGACGGTAAGTTAGTTTTTTTGTTCATGATCATTTTGGTTCTTCCTGATGAAAAACGAGTTAAAAAGCATCCCAGAACATATTCGACATACTGCTAGATTACCGTTGTATTTTGGTTAAAATATTTCAAAAACTTACGATCAAGTTTATTACGGAAGAACCAGATTCAGTAGAATACTAGAGCAATTATATTGAACGCTCACTTGTTCTATGAACATAAGCGTGAATTAAAGAAATTGAGACAATAATTTTATTTAAATAGAAAAATATCTTACGCTCTGCGTCGAATAACATCAGTGGTTGCATACACAAATAGTTTTCATTCTCCATCTTGTTTATACACTTTATTTATTATTCGTACAATTTTTTTTTGTGCAATTTACAAAGAAAAATCCTCAGTACATTCAACAGAAAATGGCAAAGCGAAAGACACTATCTTTTATCGAAACAAATATGAATATTCAACAGAAAATGAAAAAGATTTGTCCCCGAAATCAAAACTGGAATGAGGATGGATCTTTATCGTTATTAAATGAATCGTATGGTGGAATATCGACCACTGATACAGATTCAGAAGGTAAAAATTGAGATGAAGAAGCAGCTGATAAATTGGGTTGTTGTTGTTGTAGAAGATGTTGACGATGAATACTGCTAGGTGTTGCTAGTATCGGTGGTGAAGTAGACAGTAAAGCAAAATCACTTTCATTTGAATTATCTGTTACATGTGTCATATTACGAGGAGGAGAGTAGGGTGGCAATGGAACAGATAAAATATCTTGATCTGGAAATTCAACTACTGCGTTTGGTGGTGACATAACATTCAACGGTAAGGAAGCAGAGCGTGGTCCTATTGTTGTTGTCTTAGTTTCATAATTCAATATTTCTCGATGAGCTTCACGTATGTATTGACATTGTTTATAATAGATCTTTGCTACACCTTTTGTGACGATAAATGCTATACCGCCCTGAAATAATATGTAGAACGTTCTAAACATGTCGTCAGAATAATTTTGAATAATAGAATCGGTTTAGTATTGTAACTTGTTCTTTTCGATTTTAGAGATATTCTTTAATTAATCAGCCGTTTCTGCTGCACACAAACTCTTCCTCACCGGTTATTAACAGATAAATTTCAAGTAAAAATATAAAATCCAACCAAACAAACATTTTTTTAACAGCTACTTCTATACACACATATTCTTATTATCTATGTTATTAGAAAAGCGTTTGTTTGAATTTTCGATTTATATATTTGCATTTATATTTTTACATTTAACTATTTTAATTTTAATAACCACTGAAGAAAACTTTGCACAGAACAGAAACATCGGATCAATTAATACCTATCTCTACGACGAAAAAGTGCAATTAATAGTGCTAAACTACTAGGAAAAGTTTCTCTCTCTGTCAATGAATTAGTATTTGAGTGAGTACTTAATTTTTTTATTACACACCAGTAACGTTCGTTGAAAATTTGAATGTACACGTTGAAATAAAAACTTTCCAATGATTGTGGCAATTGTTGGTAGAATTAAACCACCACATATTAAACGTGTTAAGGAAGCTGGATTTGAATTTTGATTTCTTTCAGTTGGTAATCGTGGCAAATAGGATATATGATCTTTAAAGAAAAAAAAATGTAAAACGTTATAAAAAATATGTGTGTTAATGAAAAGTAACTACCTTCTGGAAATAAATAATGCATCAATGGTAATTTTGATGAATGTTTTCGCCAAAACTTTAGTACTGCGTCTTCCCATCGAATCATTCTTCCCAAAATAAGACTAAAGTAGAGTGTAGTTCATTACAGTAGTAATCGAATTAAGTCATCCTTTTAGAAATATGAGTATAGACTAATAAACATACCCTGTTGGTATCGTTGGTAAACCGATGAGTAAGAATAAAGGATCAGCCTTTTCCATAACACTCAATCCCTCTTTGTGACCAAGAATCTATTCGTATAAAAAAGTGAGTGTTTAGAAAGACGTTTGGACGTAAAAAGAAGAATATAAAACTCGGCTACTGTAAATTGTGGCAGTTTAATATTAACAAAATAACACAAAATTTCTATTGATAGAGTACAGAGAAATATGATGCTTCTCGGAAGAAAATTTTTTTTTGGATGAATATAAAATCTGAAATAGGCGGTAGTCTGGATTTCTAAGAGAAATTTAATTATAAAAGATTTTGTATAAGAAATAGTATCAAATCTTTTGTTTTTGACAAACACACAGACCTGCATAATCGTAACAGCACCATAGGTGACTGCCGTCCAATACACCGATCCCACAAGTATTCCTCCAGCAAGAAATGGACAAAAACGATTTAAAATACGCTCCGTCAAATCCAACGTATAAACTAATGGACCTGAAATAAACAGAATAAACGTACCCAAATATCCGTTATTGTTAACCGCATTACACAGTACACATACCCTGTTTCGGATAAACAATAATGTATTCCGTATTGCATTGAGGGCAAGCTACTTTGACTGTACTATTTCCTTGTTGTTTTTCATCTATCCAACGTTGTAAACATTCTTGATGAACCCATTTCGCTGTGCCACGACATCGACAGGGAGACACCCAGGAAGCTGAAAAATCGTCATCTTCTGTTGCAAAGCAGACCCAGCAATGTTTTCTACAATGAGAAATTCCAACAAGGTAAAAAGTTCTGAAGTCTTTGTTGCTGACCTATTTACCTTGTTTGTCCGTTTGTTAATGATGTCCTTGGGGTTGTTAGTCTATTTGATGATGAGGGAGGAAATGGTGACGACGTTAGATTGAAGAGAGGCGAAGAAGCCTGATCGGATAGAGCATGATGACCGTTACCGTTATCCATCTAAAATTGAATACAGACGGCTATATCATAGTAGCACTCACAAACCACGTAACACTCATGAAGTACAGCATAATACAGTTGTTGAAAAGCAAGTAGAAAGAGTCTGCAGGTGTTTAACAATAGATATTTTGTATTAGAGGAAGAAATAAGAATATAAGTGAGTGTTCTAACGTTTTCTGATTAAATCCATTTTCTTATTATTGCGCAGCATCATATGCAGTTGCTTCTGTATATACTATATGTATATAATCGATTCTAAAAAATTTATGCGAAAGAGCATGAGGTTTTATTGTCATAGGGCACAGCTCTTACCCAACAGAAGACTATTTAAGAACCTCATTCGACACTCATTCTGAACGATACGTTGCACTTAAACTAGATGGTATGCGAAGAAATTGTGAAGATTCGATACCTATTTCTTTCAAAAAATTAATATGCTTCTGTGTGAATACGGGCGACAAAAATACGAGTTTAAAATGTCGCACGTAATTGCGCCTCTCAGTATCAACGAATCAGGAAGTAGCATTTATAAAATTCTTAAATACGGAAGAATAGAACAAAATATATGTGAACTTGTATACCACCTTCTGTGCGAAGAATAAAATTTGGGAAAAAATATACGTCTAAGTTCTTCTTGATTGAGTAAACTTTTTATATCGTTGTTTGGTTTTTTTGTTTTTGTTCCTGGCAAGGTTGCCAGAACTGCTGACACATGGGGAACGGAGCAAAGGATCACCACGACAATTTCCCCGTGAGTCACCAGTTCTGGCAACCCCCTCCAGAACTTTCTGGTGTTATTGAATGTTGTAGGGTTATTAATGCAATATTTTCTCTTTACTTTTTATTTTTTGTTAAAACCATACATAAATCGACTTCTGTGTTGTAAAACAAACAATGGAATAAGTTGAATTTAAAAGATGTATAGCATTTAAAGGTCTAATGAAATCATCATACCAATATTCCGTTTTTTCTTTCCCAAACTGTGCCATCATACGTTCTGCAAAAAAGTGAGTAGTAGTCAAACATGAGAACTACAACGGCCTGTTCCTGTGAGGTTATTAATGCAATATTTTCTTTAACAATTAATTCAATATTTTCTTTAACAATGGCACATATCAATAATCATAGATTCCAGATTTCAACTTTTTTCCAACAAGAAAAACTCAGTTTTTAGCATTTTACTATTCGTTGCACACTAAACGACTTGAGGTAAAAGACAAATTCACAAAACAAAATCACCAGTAACGTCTAGATGGGGAGATGTAACTCACCTCTGCTACAAAAAGTCTTTGACTACGATTTTGATTTAACCAGCCTCTACTTTTATGGCTTCTGATTATCCCTCTAAGTCACACGTGACTTATCTACCTTTATCTGTTTCACGTTTACTAAGCTTGCCTCCATACTCTTTCCCCAAAGATTCTCTGAATAATGCAAACTTAAAATATAAATTTCAAATTGTATACAGTACAATTTGCCGTTAGAAGTGCTGATGTACATGACAACACTTGTTTTTATCATTCGTCCAGAAGCATGAACAGAAAAAGAATTTAACAACACAAAAATAGATACATCCGATGGGAGACAAGAAAGAATTTTCGGTTAATGAAAGAGAGAAAGTTCAAGAAAAAAATACTTTTGTTCTGATGTAATAAGCCCGAAGTTCATGATAATTGTTCCCTATCTGTGAAATGATGAATGAGTGATCCAAACGAGCTTATCAAAAGAAAAATGCGAGTGTTGGGACCATCAGACGCGAAGTAATCGCGTATATCAGTTTCGTTTGGCAAAATTTTCTCTTATTAAATATGGTAAAGTTATTCAACATTTTATTCAATGTGTATTAAAAACAATTGCTGTACAAGCTGAAGAAAAATGGTAGTAATAAACGAGGATGGAATGGGATATGGACACAGAAAATTAATACTTGGAACTAAGAATAGTCAGAATTTTTGAAAACTCTATGGTGATTTGCGTTAATTCAGTTATTTTTAATTAAATAAAATACTTTTTCCTATGGCAAAAAATTACCATCGAGGTAAGAATTCAATGGATGGATATGGATAAAAAATTCTGTCGAAAATTTAAAGCACATCTCAATCTATCAAACAAGACACTTTTAATCATTTTTGAACACGCTATTATTCCAGAGTACATGAGAAAAGACTTTTTTTGATAACAATCTACAATTGCAAACTATTTAGATGTCTGATACAAACATTTCTAAGTGATTTTGATAGTCACAACGACAAAAATGACTAGCTCGTCTATATTCCAGGTAGAATATTGGTACGAAATGTTTAAATATTTTAAATTCTTAGCAGACACAAAAAAATCGGGTTATTTTTAACTGAAGATCGTTAGTTGCATATGCGGAAGGTTGCCATAAGACACATTTAGTATCCGATCCACACTTATAACTAAGACATCGATGGTAGAAAGCAGACTATAGTTAATTTCATTTCATTTTCTTTTTTCTTTTCAATTATACGTTTCTTCTAATAACATTTATCTGTAACTTATCTGATCTCGAAGTTCTTATTTTTCTTTATATCCGACTCTTGCTTGAAGGTCTGTTCGTTCTATTTGTACGACATATTATTATTTTAGATGAAATGACCACTTTTGATGATGACGGCGTGGACGATGAATATTTGGCATCATTAGATTTAGATATTTTGTGTTGTAATGAAAAGACACTTAAACATGCCGAGCCAGAGCAAGTTACGTTGACTAATGGTATCTTTATTCTCATCAATGGGTAGTCTGTCTACTTAGCAAAATGATTATCTTATTTTTCTATTTAGTCGATGTTTTATGTCAAAATACAGATGATAATGAAACTGTAAAAACTCATGATTTTGGATTTCCATATGAGGCCTATTCAATTCAAAATGATTTTATGAATGGTTTATATTATGTAATTAAAAATAGAAAACATGGAATATTTGAATCACCAACGGGAACAGTAAGTGTTACTTCATTCATAATAGTTAAAGAGAGAAAAAATTCATTGCTTTTTCAGGGCAAAAGTTTGAGTATTAGTAAGTCACAAATTTGTAAATTTATGCTCCAAAATTTATTAGAATTAGTATTCTTATAGTATGTGGGGCTTTACGATGGTTATTTGATGAAATTCAATCATGGAAAGATGAATTAAATGAATTGAACCAAAAAAATGAAAATGATACTTCGACTACAAGGTGGAACTATTTTTAAAGTGTACTGAATTAAAAATTATAAATAAATTGTTTTGTTTTTAGTAGTGACGATTGGTTACAACGTATTATGAAACGAAAAGATGAAGAAGATGCAAAAGAAAAACGACGAGTAAAATAATATGACGAAGTTCAGAGCGATAATGACTTATTTCTTCAATTTAGGAACAATTACAAACATGGATTGATCTTGAAAATAATTATGGTCATACTAAAAATAGTTTAGCTGCAAGCATAAAAAAAACAGTGCGTAAGACGCATTTACTAGTTCATAATATTCAATTTCATTTCCTATGTTTTTCAGGCACGAGATTTTGATAAAGAATATCGACGTTTATTTAATTGTGAAATATCAAAAAGCGATCTTGATTCGCAACCTATCGTTAGTCTTAATAAAGTTAAGGATGACAACGATGATGATGTTAGGTTTGTTGTTTAAAACTAAAAATTTGATACTTGTACAACTTTTTATCTATATTTTTTATTCAGTGATGAGGAACTCATTGTCAAAGATCCAATCATTGATGATTATTTGGATTCTTCAACGACATCGGAACAAGTTAAAGAAAAGAAAAATCATGTTCTAAAAGTAAAAGGATATTTTTATTATTCTCTTTACGTTTTACCATTTCTTCATTTACCGTAGATTTTTTATTGTACTCGAACACATTCTCAAATAAGTCAGTTTATACAAGAAATACAAAAAACTCAATATTGTGATAAACTACGTATTGTAGCCTTAGGTTCGAGGCAGGTAGAGTATTGAAAGATGTCTCCACATTCTTAGCTTCGACAGACAGACATCATCTTTTCTCTTTTTCAACTTGTCAATGTTTACTATTCGCACATACAGAATTTATGTATCAATGAATCTGTATTAAAACTTAAATCTGTTAGTTTAATTAATGAAAGATGTTTAGAATTACAAAAGAAGAAAAAAGAAAGTAAATAATGATTGTGAATTGAATATTCAACTTATATCGTTCATTTTATTCAGAAAAGACAACGCGTGGCAAACGTCAAAAAACGGCGTGTGGCTGTTCATACTTACAGCATGATCGGGTAGAATGTTTGACAAATGATATTCTTGTATGTAAAAACTACATAAGAAATATAATATAATCATTAATACTTTTTTCTACTATTTTAGGGTGATGTTCAAGATATCGAAGATGTAGTGAAAGTTGGTCGTGAAATGGAGGCGTGTCCATATTATGCTAGTCGTTCAGCCATAGCTGGTGCTCATCTTGTTCTTTTACCTTATCAAACATTACTACATAAATCAACACGAGATGCTTGTGGAATAAAACTTCAAGATAATATCGTTATTATCGATGAGGCACATAATTTACCTGATGCTGTTTGTACAATGCATTCAACGGAAATAACTGGTACACAGGTAGAAACTATACTATATTTTTAATAATTTTTCTAATTATATTTTACTTTTTCTAGCTTATTGAATCTTATGGTCAATTAACACGTTATTATGAAAAATATAAAAATCGTTTAACAGCAAAAAATTTACTCTCAATAAAACAGTTGCTCGATGTTCAGTTAAAACTAATCAAAACATTAACGTGTATGTTCCTATTAAAGTCTATTTATCTATATTAAATAATAGGTGTCATTTATTTAGCTCAGGAAAATTTACCACCGTTTGATAGTGAAAAATGGGCCAATATTCCTGTATCATCTCAAAATGGTTTGTTCATCTATATATCTAAATGAAATAAACTGCATTCGTTTTCATCCTTTTCTAGAAACATGTGTATCCGATGTAATTCGTTATTTGTCAGATGCAGATATTTATGTTAATCTGTTTGAGTTACTCAGCTATATACAAACAAGTGAAATAACAAAAAAAGTAGAAAAAAAAGTCGTAAAGTAATTTAGATCTCATCAAAATTATTTCTTCTTGTTCAGCTATATGGTTTTATAACAAAATATCAGTTCAAAAGTACATCAAACGATGGTAAAAAACGTCGGTTTTTTTTTTACTCACAAATAAATTTAAAATAACTTGTGTTTCGAGGATAACGTCTCGTGATCCTTGCAATTTTTTTTTATCGTGAAACTTAACTAGTAGATTAGTTATAAATAAGATGCTAACAAAATAATGGTGTGTAACTAGTTGTTTCTTTTTTCAGAGAAAAAGCCGAACGAGAGTGCATTACAAAAATTGTTACAAAAACAAGTTCCTCTGAATAACAAACCTTCCATTGAACAACAGCCAGGTTAATTCTTGTCTTCGTGTGAAAGGCGTTTTCATTTCTTTTTTTTGTATCATCTTTGTAGAAACAACTATAGATCAAAAAATATCAAATACATTTGCTTTGTTTGTACCGTTTCTCGAAGCATTGACAAATCCAAGAGAAAATGGAAAAGTTATTTTGACTAAAAAACGTACGAGTAGCTCTCTCCTATTGTGAAATATATATATATATAACTCTTGTATATGTATCTATTATAGAAACAGTTGGGCTTTGTACAATCAAGTTTTATGCATTAAAACCGTCATCATACTTCAAAGAAATTGTCAATGAAACACGATGTGTGATTGTGGCAGGTAAGATTTCTTTTTACATACAATAAATAGAGCATTGTCAATATTTAGAATGAAAGGTCATTTCTTTCAGGTGGTACAATGAAACCAGTGTCCGAATTTGTTGATCATCTGTTTATTGCATGTGGCCAGTCAAAAGAAAGAATTTATCAACTTTCTTGTGGTAAGTAATGATTATTCATGATGCCTTTGTTGCTTTTAAAATCCCAAAATGTTTTTAGGTCATATTGTTCCCGAAACGAATGTTTTGGCGATTGGATTACCGTGCGGACCCAACAATGTTGAATTTGAATTTACTGCTGCCAATCGATCGAATATTTCAATGGTAAGTTATTGATCAGTCAGTTTCTTGTAATGGTATTAGGACCATAATTCTTATTCATTTTTCTAGATGGATGAGTTGGGACGATTATTGATTTCTTTAACGTCAACTATTCCGCACGGCATCGTTATCTTCTTTTGTTCTTATGATCATTTACAAAAAGCGTATACACATTTTGAAAAAACATTTGTATTGAATAAAATACTACCTAAAAAAAAGGTAAACTAGAAAATAGAAGTTGTAGTTTTCTCAACATTTTATTTTTATGATAAATAGATATTTATGGAACCCAAACGTTCAGGTGATGTTGAAACAGTTCTTACAAATTATACAAAAGCTATTAAAGTAAACTCTTTTTTTTGTTGATTATATTAAATTATCAAATGAATATATTATTTTAAAGAATAAAGATGGATCGGGTGCGCTACTCTTTTCCGTAGTTGGTGGAAAAATGAGTGAAGGAATCAACTTTTCGAATGAACTTGCACGGTATGTCGTACAATGCGTTTTACATTCAATTAGAATAAATTTTCATTTTTAGATGTGTTTGTGTTATCGGTTTACCTTATGCAAATATTGGCTCGTCAGAACTTATTGAAAAAATGAAATATTTAGATTTGACACAGGTATTTTGTTGTGTTGTGCGATAAATTTGTACTATGTTCACTTCTATTTCAGGAAAAATCTTCATCATGTGAAAGTGGTGGTCGAGCATATTATGAAAATACATGTTGGAAAGCTGTCAATCAATCTATCGGTGAGCATGACTTTTTTCTAACTGACAAAAGACGTCCTCTTTCTTCTTTAGGTCGAGCAATTCGCCATAAAAATGATTATGCATGTTTGCTATTAGTTGATAAACGTTATAGTAAACAAAATGTTCTAACCAAATTACCCCACTGGCTTGAAAAAAGTTTTATGCGTGTGAAGAATTTTAGTGAAGCATCATCCTCTCTAAATAAGGTAGATTTAACGAAAGATTTTTTCACTGATACGATGACTTTTTGTTTCTATTTCAGTTTTTCTCTCAACCTCGTGGTGTTTGATTCCAATATTTTTTATGCATTTTCGTTTCCATCATTACATGCTATACTGTCATATATCTATCAGAATCTTCTATTTTTTACTGTCTTTTTTTGCTGTTTTAAATAATCTAATTTGTAAGGTGAAATAATTACTTAATAAAAAATTGTAATCATCTAACAGTTTTAGTTTAGGAGGTTAAAAGAGTGCAAGAGTTGTCTATCTTGAATCGATACAAATCAAATAGATTTTAGTGTAAATTTTATTCCTAAACAAACTGTTCTATACGAAAATAACAAATAAAACACAATTATCGCAGAGGAAATGTCTGTACATAATGTTAACAAGATTTTTCATTTTCAATTTCTATCAATATTTCATCTAATTTCTGTTGTTCGCTGGATGATGGTAAATAATTTAATGCCATTTTTTCTGATTTCTTTGATTGTTTTATTCCCTTTGAGACGAGCCGTCGATGATTTTGGAACCATATACGAATTTGTTCTCTTTTAACTCCAATTCTTTTAGCAATAATATCGTTTTGCGCACCTAAAATGAGTTTAGCTTATATCAATCGAATTACTTTTATATTGATAAACGTACTATTTGGATAAGGTGTTCGGTTAAAAATTTCAGTTAATGTATGACGTTGACTGGAGGTATATTGTAAACGGATTGATTTTGAACTCGAACTCGTTCGTTGATAGATCGTTAACGGTGATGAAGTTGGAAGACATCTGATGATCGGTAAAGATGTAGTTGAAGTAAGTGTGTTCTAAATTAAAAAGAGAATGTTATTGAACTTGTGAATGGAGCATAATATTTTCTGTTTCAGTCTAAATTTGGTAACGAGTGAATAAATGAGAATAGATTAAAAACTTACCATTGAAGAATCATAAAATGGATATGCAGTATTCATTGATGGTGATTGCCGCTGTGGCGGTGAGTGAAGGGACCAATCAACATTTGAATCATTGACATTGAAAAACTATAAGATTGATAATAAACTATAGAAGAAAATCATGATCAAAGATCTGCTTATTGGAGGTAGTGAACTCAAATTGTGTTGTGTCGTACACATCAAATTCTACTTTGAAACTAGATGGATCTTGACTAATGATTACAACATATCGTTAGTCATAACTTCCTTTTCGTCATGAACAGATGTGGCAATGCTCGCTTAAGTGAGCAACTCTATTCTAAAAACTCCGATAGAAAAAAAGCGACTATTAGTATACTTTACCGTATATTGTCGCAGCCTAAAACTAATTTATTTGTTTAAGAGCCTGTTGTTAAGCCTATTTATTTATTTATTTATTTAAGAAGTTTTTTCCTCTTGAATATTCAGTAGGTACTTACGTGAAGTTGAGTTTCCTGTTTTTTGAGTGATTATTGAACCATTTTTTGCTATTCTCTAATAAAACGTTACCTTACCTGGCACGTTGGAGATAAGGTTGGACAAAATAAATCCTGTTGAATTGGATGAGTTGAATAAAATTGATACGAATCATCGCAGAAGATTGGTACTGTTGGAAACGACAGGAAAGTATTGTGGATGTTATTGAATAAACATTGACTACTTGTGTTTGGATAATTGGCAGTTGAGTAAGATGAAAACATAATTTTGAAAAATTGTTGATATCGTTGTCTGAGAAAATGTTTTGAAATATAAATGAAAAACTATCGATGTCATATGTATATATATATAGATATAGATATATACATAGAGGTATGTTTTGGGAAAACAGAAATGCCATATTGTTCTTTTCTCTTGATGTGGAGTTTATTTTAATTAAGCTTTTCTTGTTGTCTCTTTCATACTAAAGAGCTATAAAAGATGAATAGATTAGCAGATGGGTTTATTTTTATCAGAGCTTTTTTCTGTTTCTTATTTTTTCTCTATCCAATAGAGATAATTTCCGACGAAGAGAAGAAAGAAACAGGAAATCAACTATAAACGAAAATTATAAAATAAATGCGAGGAGATATCCGATAATGTTGATTGATTAAAGCACGACTAGTCGAAAGGAAATACAAGTCCGTATGAATATCTGGACCTGTTCAACGCAAGATTAGAAAATTTTTAGACTATAGAGACGCGTAGAGGTCACGACATAATCGTTTCGGGAGTCTAAAATCATTGTCATCATGAATTTATTATTAAAATATTTCAATATCGAAAGATTCATCTCAAATTTTCAACTGGCGTCAGTGTTATTTCAATATTAGACAAATACAGATAGAGACTATTCTGTCAATCAATCATTGACCTCTAGACTTAGTTAAGGAAGTGAAACATTCTAGTTAGAAAGAGCTTGATCAAGAAAGAAGGCTAACTGCATTGTTCACGGATTCCATAGCACTAATCTAATGTGATCATTCACTGATTATTCGTTGATAGTTTGCTTTGTACTATTCTATATGTATATTGATTGCAGAAAATCAGTTTTGTCTTTTCTCTGTTTTTTTACTTATTTTTCTAAAAATAAAAATGTTCTTCTCTTGTAAAGAGAAATGAAAATTGGATTTGAATTCGAATACAGGAATAGAGCGGGGAGGAACTTTTACACGCCTGACCGCCCTAGCGCTGGATAACCATCAGACTAGGACGTGTGACTAGCACTCACAAATTGAAGAGATGCAGCACCCCTGCTTTTATTCCTATACATCCAGGATAGATCGAAATCAACATATTTTGGAGTGCAGTTAGAATAATGGTAAAGCAATTCTGATGATCGCTCGATGTATATTCGTAATGAGTCTGTATCATGTGTTGTTTCCTAGAGAACCATATAGATCATTGTTGTACTATGTGATCTATTCATGATGAGCCGCTTTTTAATACTTTTATCGAGAAGTGTTTTAGTCGTGTCTTATTCACTCAAAACGACGTACTGTATTTTTCTCTGATACCGTTTGATTTTATCAAGCATGTAAGTATTTCATTCGAAAATAGATTATTTTAAATTTCAAAAAACACTTAACAAAGTAAAAAAATATGTAGAAAATTTTGTCTAATGACCCGCATTTCATTTGATAAACAACACATAAAAACACTCTTTTCTTGCTCATGTTCTAGATGTCGACATTGTTTTACTCCATTGTGCATATTTTTTTGACGCTTTATCAAGTAAACTTTCAATATGACCTACAAGCTGAAACAGAAAAACTTCCATAATTATTAAAGTAACCACATGGTTCGGATATTTCTGATGGTACATGTTAATACACGTCTACTTACATGAAAATCAGCTAATGTATCTGTTAATACTTTTTCTTTGAATGGCACAACTTTTGTTGTTCGAAATCTTTCTAAAGTCTCATGAACACGACGAATCTATAGCACAGAAATGAGAATAAACCAATGAAGAGAATAATAGAAGCTGCTTAATGTACTTTTTCTTCTATTTGTGGTGTACTAGGAGGAAAACAAGACCAAAAATGTCTTAACAATTCACGTAATGATGTGTAAATATTTTGCATTTCTTCTTGGATTGCTTGTGGTACAATTTCTAAAAAAATCGATTCGTAGAAATATTATCGTATCACATGCAATGCACATGTTCTCTTACGTGATAATGTTTGAGAAGATGTACCATGCATCAATGCTCCACCGGGAGATAGTTCTGTCATAACTTTGAGTGCTAATTGAGAATTAAGATTCTAGATAAAATAATAGACAATAAGGATATAGTTACAAAGAGACTTTAACGATCAATTGTTACCAGTTCAGTATTTGCGGTCCAATCAGCCATTTGAAGTTTTAAATTATTTACACTGGCGATTGGTGTCGGATTAAGAATATTTTTTTGTGCACGACCATTATTTGTTGGTGGTGGTGCACGCAAATATCGTTCAGGATTAATTAATTTTAATGTTTCAACTTCTTCTTTCTGTTCACTTCTTAATTCTTCGAAATCATCATCAGGTTTAAACTAAAACAAAAAACAACTATCTTATCATTACGATAAATACCTAAATAAAAATTAGCCAAAAAATTACTCTTTTCGCTGAATTCTCGTCATCGTCGTCATCATTTATTGTTTCAACATCTTTCTTCTGTGCTGTTGACGTGCTATTATCATTATTTTCCGTGGTGGTGACGATATTTTCGTCCCCAAGATTCGATTTTAATATCATTGTCGAATGAAAATTAAATCGTTTTATCAATTGTTTAGCTGCACTAGTTGACGATGATGCACGTTCGGTTTCATTAACACCATATCCCATCTTTAAATAGAAATAGAAATGAATATATACTCGTAGAGAAATTCACATGATTCCTTCTCAATGATAAACACAACTATTAATCGATTTAAGTCGAACGTCCCCGGCGATAGAACGTATAGAACCTGTAAGCACGTAATCAAAAATAAGCAAAGTTGAAAAAAGATTTTACCTCACTTGTTTCATTTGTTTCTGGAGCTATAACACCCATAGTTCTTTTACTAGCTTTCTCAGCTTCAATACTCAGTTCTACAATAGCATAAATCAAAAAAAATTTATAAACTTCCATAACTAACAAGCAGTCAACGTTATATTCCCTACTTTCATCATCGATTCTTGTACAATCAGTAAATAAATCTCTTGAATTGGATGTCGGAACACGATCCATTGCGAAATATTGTGACTGAAAAAATGTACGCCAAAATTCGGCCTCTGTCAATCGTCCCACTGTTACGTTTTGATCATATTTTTCCTTGACTACAGTTACAAAGAAAATTTTCATTAATACATTCATTGTATTTAAAAAAAAAGACTTTCTCTTTACCTGATGGATATGCTCTAAAGATTGATAAAATCATATCAGTAGTTAATGTATATTTAACACCACCTTTTTCATTACTTTCAGGACGGATAGTTGACTAGAAAATAAAACTATGTGATTTTTTTCTTCGTAAAAACAAATGAATTCTACATACAAACAAAGCGCCTGAAACACCAGTTGACTGTGGTTTATTATTCTCCGTCAATTTCTCAATCTAAAGCGAAAAATAATCAAATGAGAATAATAAATATTCAATTATCAATTCGTTCGTTACATCAACATATTTTTTCCAGAAGTCATCAGCTGACATTATACCACTCATCACTAAATCTTTGTATAATTGTAAAATAGCTTTATTATCGTCTAAAATTCTAAAGATATAAAAAACAAAACAATTAATAGATCTATTAAAATCAAATTCAATTATTTATTTTTCTCCTACTTGCTTTTAATACCGAGTTGCTGATTCATTTTTAACTGAAATTCTGGTAATAATGTTTGTAATAAATCTTTAACCATTTCACGATCTTTTCGTTGTTGATCGGCACTGGCTGGATTACTGAAATGGAATGTTGTCATTGTATCATCATAAAGTATAATTTGTAAACGCATTTTGGATTTCAATTCGGATGATGTACGTTGTACTTGATCCAAAATATAAAATATTTCGTTAAAAAATTTAGTTAAATACAACAAACTGAAGGTTCTCACTTATAATATACCTTTTATGTCTGCATAATCGAAACAAATGGTAAACACATCTTTATTATTAGGCATCCATCCCATTCTATCACCCATCATAAATAATGTACCTTCAACTTTTTTACTTCGAACATGAGACACTTTTAATCGTACATCTTCTTCATCGGTCATTTTGGATAGTAATAATGAAGTGTATATAAATACGGCTTTATTTAGATAAAGTAACACATCTAATCTAAAATTAAATGATAAATAAAAGTCAGACAAGTGTATACTTAACAGAAAACTAATAGTCATAGTTTGTTACTGATTACAAATGTCATCGTACTAACAATATTTTTAATAAGAACAATAAAGAAGAAAAATATCATTCTGTTAGGAAGTATAAGCTAAATCTCATACCAGCAGTTATCTTTCAAATATACATGTTCTCTTCACTCGATGGTTATTTTCCCTTGTTGTTCTTCTGTTATTTTCACATTATTCACTCTTCTGCTTTTCTGTGACGTATGTTTTCTCTTTCTGTTCACTCTTTCCCATGAATATTTTTCATTCCTATTCTTCTCTCTCTCTCTTGTACAATATGTGTTTTTCCCAGTTTCCCTAAGAGATCTTCCTGTAGCTAAAATATACTAGATATAGTTGTTAATTTGCTAAAATAAAGTGTGTGTAACAATTACATTCTTCTTTGGCTATTAACCATTTGATGCAAAATGATTCCGAAAGGAATAATCTTACATTTTCCCGACTAGTGTACCAATATGAAGTGATTTGAAGAAAAAATTCTTCAGTGTTTTCAATGATTTTTCATCATTTTCTTACCAATATTTTATATAAAAATAAAACACATAAACTCACATCCATTGTGAAACTTTTTTGGAACGTTTTTCAACAAAGTACTAGGTGATCATTCATCATTCTGTTGATATCATTTAAACTACCAAAACTCAAAACGAACATCGGTACCTTATGCGAAATGAAATCAAGCAGCTACTATAAATGTTGGAACATTAATTATACTTGTATCTAGTTCAAGAACACGTTACTTCTACAGTAACTCAATTTATTCGATAGTGAAAAACATGGTTTATTATATAAATTTCGAGTTGCTTGATAATATATTCCTATGTAAATAAAATGTGAAAGAGTATATTTTCAAGAATCACAATAATACCGTAAAATTTAGTTAAAAAATGATGGGCATCTAAAGCGAAAATGGTTCTTCGATCTAGTATTCAATGGTTGCATATAGGAATCGTCAATCATTGAACAGAAGTCGCTTTCTGTTTTAATTTCACATAGACAATGTTAATCAGACACAAAAAAAAAACAACAATAACCGAAACAAAGAATAGAATCCCGTTTGATAGCAAAAAGGCCTACATACACCTACACAGAAACACATGAGAAAATGAAGATTCAACATTTGAAGAGTGCAAAGAGAATGGTTAATTACATAATTCAATGGTTCATGCAACTATTGTAATTAAAACAGATCGTCAAAAATGTTGCTTTTCGTTCTTTTTTTCACGTACAATAAAGTCGATTTCATATTGTACATCTCTTCTCTATTGATTATGGTCAGTTATGTGTAATTATGATCATGTAAAGATGGAAGATTTGTAACAGCTGCATTAATCATTAAATTCTGTTAGAAGATAAAGAATTATGTAAGAAGACCTGTTTTAGTGATTAAATCTATATTAGAAAGAAAAATCGCAGGATAAATAGACCATAAAAAAAATGAGAAAAAAAAGATAAAGAGACAGATAAACAATCGTTGTTAAGTTATACACATTCGATTTTTTTTTAAAGAAAAAAATGTTCACATATAAATCATTTGTTCTATTTTTTTTTGTCTATCCTTCTATTTTTAGTCTTTAATTATCGTTTGAATTGGTCTTGTAGTCGCTGTGGTTTGTTTAAAATTTGCTGCTGCTTGATATTGAAGTTGATAAGCCATTTGATGAATTTTAAAACCATATAATCTAAAAGAAATATAAGAGAACTATAGTCATAATAAATATAGAACATAATATTATATGGATACATTAACATACCTTGCAACAAATTGGTTAGTCGGTCGTTTTGGTCGATATTCTGGATGTACCATAAATAGCATATGTGGAAAACCAGTACTGAAATAAGCTCCATCTGTATGATGATGACGACTCGATTTTGGTGTATAAACATCCATGCATTTTGGACCTAAACAATATATGAAACATATCATTGTTTGATAAAACTATTTCTACTAATCTAGTATGATGTGATTCACTTACAGTATAATTTAACCATGGCTTCACCAGGCACTTCAGATAATCCAATCTGAGAGAAAATAGGATACAATGAGTGTATTTTTCACTAATATTTGACAAAGAAAACAACAACTTACTGGAAGCATTGGTTGATTATCACAATAAATTCTTGGACATAAACCAAAATCACCATTTTGAAACTTTTCTAACATTTGCGATATACCATTATTTGTTAAAATATATCGTGCATGTATTAATCCATATAACATTTCAGCTGCTTGTTCAATCAAATCTGATTGATTTGGGTTATCTTGATTATCTAGTTCATCATCCGGTTCTAAATCCAGTATCATATCTAATGCTTGACGGTAATGTGGCACTTGTTCATTGAGACCAGTTAAATTAAATTTATCTTGTATATAATCTTCATCTACTTCACAAAAGAATTCATTACCACGTAAACCACAAAACCAAGATATCCATGATACTTCCTCAGACGAACTCATCGATGAGGATTTGGCTGAGGACGATGATTGATCGTCTTTAACAAATGCTGAGGCCAGAACAAACAGATAAAGTTACAAAAAAATAAAGTACAAATTGACGTCCAATTTAAATCTAAAAAACAAAAGGAAAAAATGGAATGAAAAAATGGTTTATTGCGACAAATTTCTACTAATTGTAGAAAATTGTACTATTTTCATATAACAATAGATCTTTACATAACAGCATTCTTCTTTTTAATACACAAATGAATTTGTCTACTCCTCGACATTTTTACACTTGGAAAAATCTTGTCAGATCTTGCAATATAGTTTGTTACTGAGTAGCCATTTTCTTTAATTTTCTATAGTCAAGCTTTACTCTTCTAAAACATAATTTATAATTCTCTAGCGTATTTGGAAATTCATAGTGAATTTGTTTCCGATTTTCTCCGATAATACGCTACGTTTACTACTATACGTTTACTTTTCCATAAATAAAATATAAAATAAAAAAATTAATATTTAACAAAAATTATAACAGCGGTTGTAAAAGGTAGAAAAATAGAGTGACAAATAAATAATAAGTGTGTTGAATACAAAGCAATTCTTTACAAATAATATTACCACAACGATATGTGCGTAGATGCAGAAAAAAAGAGAAAACATGACCAGAGTTTGACTAGTGTAACTCTATCAATAACAAAACAATAAATAAGAACAAAAATAGTGCAATGACAAAAATAGATCAAACTAGTTTAAATTATTTATCATCAATATAAAATTTTGCTTTATCACTTAATAGTCTCCAACATTACATAATTATTTCGTTTACAACAACAAACGGTATGGTCATTATCGTATCGAAATATGTTAAAAAAAAATGAAAATAACGAAGTCGAACGAGAGAAAATGAATGAACAGCTCCAGTTATATACAAATAAATATTCACTACTCCAGTATAAATGATGATAAAGTTTAATGTCCGATGTAACGGTACTGAATATAATATAGTTAAAAAGACATTGGATGATGTTAACGGTAAAGTTAACCAAGAGTGCAATACAACATCTAATTATAAATGCAAATTCAATAGAATACAAGTCTTATAAATCAACAAAGAATGAAAACATACTCCTAAACAAAATCTAACACGTAATGGCAATTGTTTATCGTGTACATCTAGCAATATTTCTTGTTACCATCTTTTACATTGCTGTAAAAAGTCCCAGATGCTAAATGGTGATTTTTCCCACATTTCTCCTAGAAATATAGTAAAAATAAAATCTTTCTTTAAACTTACATGTCATAGAAATTATCAAACTAACCCTCCAAATTGATCATTTTCTGACATTGGCAACATTGGAAAATATGTATCTGAAAGAATATAAATTTATTTTGATTGTATTTTCAATGAAGAAGAATGTATTTCTTTATCTTCAACTATATTCCTCACTTTTCCGAGGAAAATAGTATTAAATATTTTTACTGGCGGACGTTATTAATCCTTGTCCTATTAAATTTTGTGCATCTTCAGTAAAATTCAAAATTCCATCTCTATTAACAATGTTTCTCTGTCAAGATAAGTATATAAATCAGTCTATAATCTTTTGGTGAAATTATTTCTTGAACGTGCTTTTGTGACTATGTAGTCAGATTAATTGATTTACCAGTTACAATTTTCACAATAAAATTAGTTAAGCCAACTTTTTGATAATCTCCTCATATAAAACCTGCCCTGGCTACAAATGTACGATGCTAATAGCTAAGAATTATGAAGATCAGAGTGTTTCGAAAAAACATTGTAAAACAATAAACCAAATATATGACATCAAACTAATGGTAAAGGCAAAGGCAATAATGATAGTAAACGCATGAAATAAACGAGTATTGTTAATGGAAAACCATATAATTGAACGGTATCAACAGATGATGATGACGTTACAGTATTATGAAATGAGAATATGTCAGTTTCACCGTCTAAATTTTGAAAACAAATAAAAATAAAATGAAACAACACAGATGAATAAAATGACGACAATATGCGACATTCATTGTTTGAAAGATAAAATGATTGTCATTCTATGATTATTTACAAATTCTTTTTACTAATATTACAGGTTATTTCTAGAAAAATTAATAAATAATACAATATTAGTTGATTTGGTGAAGTACTATTCTACACTAACGAATTCCAATATAAAATAGAGATCTATGTACTATACTGAAACTGATTTTGACTGGATACTCTTTTAACGTTCATATGCTCGACATTGTTTTGAGGAGATACAAGGACAACTTGTCCTGTATCCATGGACTTTTCTTTAAGTAAAGGAACTGCATAGAGTGCATTACTCATCCCATAAATATCAAAGAGAAAATCATTAAAGAAACTCAAAAATATTCTCGGAATCTCTATCCAGCTTATTTAGCTCTCCGGACTATCAATGCACATAGATCGGCTTACGATTATTTTCTTAGCTGTCGTATCTATAAACAAAGAAAATCAGTAATTTACCTCACAGAAACAGTTGTTGTTGTTTTTTCTAGGAAATATTACATTTGATAAGAAGAACGATATGTAGAGGATGAAATATTTATCTAGTATGTTGATAAAATAAAACAAAACCAACATAATAAAAATACTGTTGAATTTTAAAAAAATTATCTATACGTTGTGATTTTAGCTGAAAAGAAATCACTGATTAAACTAATAAATCTTTTTAGATCAAATAATTGAAGCAACATCGAAAATCGAGTACAATGACTCGTCGCAAATAACGTCTTGTTCTAAGAGTTTAGCAGATATTATCAGTCTCGAGCGAGTAGACTCATATTTTTTTTTACAAACGCAAAAGTCACTTCTCTTGTTCAATGTTTCTTCATATGAAGAATATATTGGAGTGTTTCTCGTCTACTTTTTGAAAGAAAAGTGGATGTTTTCGCGTATACTCATTCTATCTTGTTAGGATGCTGTACTGTCAAAGTTATTCTATAGTATAATAAAAGACAAACTAAAATTTCATCATCCGTAAAACGCATGAACAGTTTTTATCTTCGCCTACAGCAATTGTTTTCACTCGATATCACATTTGGTTTTATATTTGTGCAACTCATTGTTTTTCTACAAAATTTCTATTAAGAAAAATGGTTCTTTTCACATACTCTGTACACTGTTTATAATTTCAAATCACTCTTTAATTAAGAATGATTGGCTACCGTAGACACACAAAAATATTACAATATAAGGAATAGAACAGTTATATTTTAGATCCGTTACATACAGGGAAGTGAAGAACAATGTCACGATACGAACAAGAACAAGCACAACAACGTATCATACGTTCAAAAAAAAAGAAGAGCTGTGAAGAAGGATCTCCGATTAACTGAAGCAAAGAAGAATTGTTTCAATGGAAGCTTGGATGGAATACTACGATGATTAAGATACCGTTATGTAGTTGTATTAGATAATGATTCTAATTTTGAGATGATGATGAGTATGAACCTTAAATTTAACTGTTCTGTCCTTATGTTTGTGTGTCTACGATAGGCAATCATTCTTAATTAAAGAGTGATTCGAAATTATAAACAGTCTACAAAGTATGTGAAAAGAACAAACTCACTATTATAAATTCAGATCACATTTTATTTTGTAGAAGAAACGAGATAATATATACATTCCAAATTGAGACCACTTTTTAAATCTAATTAATAATCATTAAACAAAAGTGGCCTCAATCATGAAGGAGCCAAAAGAAATTATAAGGTGTTATGTGATGTAAAACAAATTTTATTCAACATATACAGAGAACAATATTCTTGATTACAGACGTAGAAAGATTTTATCTGACGCATTCAAAATTTTCAATCTTGTCGACGGTCTGTGCTCTTAGTGAAAAGAAAGCAATACACCCTTGCATAATAACCTACTTACTTAGCTATAGCGGGGTTCATAAGTAGGAAGAGTTTTTCTCTCTTCAAAACTACACCACGTTCTCGAAATATCTTCTGAAAGCAAAATTACGCGAAAAATGTATGAATTTTGGCAGAAAATTCTCAGAAAAAATATTTATTTGCTTGCCAAATCTACAAGTGCTGACTATTTTCTACAAAAATTTGGATTCTTTCGTTCATAAAAAATAATCGTGAACTCTAAACTATATAATCTTTTTTATCCTTGTAAAAGCAACATAGTTTAGTAAAAAAATTGTCAAGAAGCAACAAAAAGAGAAGAAAAATAAGTCAACAGAAAATGTGGTTGAGTTTGATTAAATTGTCGTGTTGATTACGATCTATTACACGCATATGATGATATTATTTTTCTCGTTCTCCTTCTTTTCTTGTTTGTTCTCTGATAGAAAATCTATATTTGAACCTGATCAAATGTAATTGAATATATACATACATAGATGGCCAAAAAAACAAGAGAAAAGAAAAATCGAACAGAGCGACGATGTCGACTAAGCTTTAAACTACAATATTAGCGATCTAACTAAGAAAAGCTATGTTTGGTGGTCTTTCGACTTAAGATGAATCACAGAAGAGAAAGAGGCTTCAAACAATGGATTATCTATAAAAGTTCAAGAGCTCACTTCGAATGCTATCTGCGAGAAGTCGACGCAGAACCTACGCATTGAAAAGATAAACTGGTTTCACGATGGGAAACTAAGTATCAGAACTCCGTATAAACTGGACTGAACTTGAAAATTTTTGAGTTTTTGAATCGTCCATTTCATGGACTAGAAAAATAATTTCGAATGGACCCGATCTGAAGTGGTTTTGACAGTTCGAATTTATGGACTGCACTGGAATGAAAAATTTAAGCTCATATGAAGCTCTACAAGGCACAATCCACAAAGTCTGTATACTGTTATGTCGACTACACTTTTAACTACAAATCTCACTTAGATGGATCATTCCAACTTAACCGTGTTAGTGTCAACTTCTTCTAATTCTAACTGCAAGAGATTTACATTTTATCTAAAACAGAAACCAAATAAATAGTATATTATTCAACTGAAGATAAAAGGTGTCACGAGTCGAGCGTAATCAAAATTAATTAGTTTTATTCTTACTGATATTAACCTTTTAGATCCCACAGTTAATTACGTAAAGCAAACTTGAAACTCTTGTACCTTTATCTAGGCCGAATGGAATTTTTTTTTCTTATTTGCAATTGCTAGGTTATGGTATCAGCTTACACTAGAAGATAATCCGTTTTTTGTTCAGACGCATGGTCACCTATCTGTAGTAATTCTACGATATCCGCTGATGTCCATCTCAGTGGATATTGGGTCTTAAAGGATTAAGGCTCTCTGGCTCTCAACTTGACGATGAGCATAACATCAGCAGCTCTCATTTGCATTCGCCCTCGTCCCAAGCGTTCTTGGGACCGTACAGTCAAAGTAAAAAAGTGCGTGCATTGAATCTCGTTCTAATAATAGTATATGCATAGATTTTGAAACATCAAACATGGAATTTTTGACGCTATTGAAAAGCTGCTTAATTTACAATTTATTTCGTTTGGCCTATTTCCCAGAAAAGTTACAACTGCGATTCTCTTGCTTTTTAGGCTTTGCGATAGCACTGCCTATATTACTGCAACGCCCGCTGGTACCACTCTCTGAGAGATTCTTGTATAAATTTTTCTATGAAGCACTCAATACCTCTTCATTAGTTACAATTTTTGCTTTCTGAAAGTTAGCTAGAGCATAATCGTAAATATGACATGTTAATATCCAGCTTTTAAAATGTATTGAGAAAGATGGTCTTTTTCTAAATAGAAACAGCACATCACTAACTCGAATCTGTAAAAAGAACATATAGATGGAATGAGGGGCGAAGCTTAAGTCAATATGTTGATAAAAACTATTCTACATAACTGATAATAGCCAGCCGCGGCACACTTATTCTGGACAACATTTTCATCAGAACGAACTTTTCTTAAACTATGGCCTTTAGCAGATTCGAAAATAAAAATCTGTAAATGTAATTTTATTGCCTTACATTTTGCTATAAAATAGATGTTTAGAAATTTTCGTCGAACCTTTTTTTGGTTTTGGACCATAATTAGTCCAAAATCATACTGAGCGTCGATGAACTTTTCTTCTGTTCCGACTTTGTTGTAACTTATTAATCTCTATAACTCTACTTTTCTCATGATTTTCTGACCTTTCATTTTTTTGCTTGCAATGATCTAGTGCAAATTTCTTAGAACTCTCAATTAAGCACACATCAGCCGTTCTTGTGACACTTTTTAACGAAGTGTAAAACTTGCGAATGAAGAACATCATAACTATAGGCAGTAGAACGTCTCAGGATTAGTCTTTCTGAGCCTACTGATTGCACCGCTTGCGATTCATCAGACACCCTCGTGTGGTATTGCACTACACAGAATAAAATAAATAAATGCACTAAAAACACTAAAACCAGTCAGCGGATTGGTCGAAATGCGCCCATAACTGATCCCTTTCGAACTTCAAATAGAGAACTTTTTCTCCTAAAATATTTTATATCGTTACAACCTGGTAATTCCATATGCTTACTTGTATAGTTTCAGATAAGTACAACTGATAGGGAGATCCTTGTTAAACGACCAAAGTACAAATTCTAGCGACATCACTTCAATACCGCACAACAAAACAGTTTTAGTTCAGATTCGATCTTGATTACGTTCTTTTAAGTTGTGAAATAAATGGAATTAAACAAAGCAGCTTTCCTAATAGTCGAGCGTTGGCTACACTAGACTAAAACTGCATATAGTTTAAAAGCATTTTGCTTCTATATAGCAATTCGACTTAGAAAATTATGGGCATCGAAAGAGAGCATAGTTGTTTAAAAAACATAAAAAAAATAATTCTTAAAACTTTATGCTAGTTAGTTGACACACCAAACGGTTATGGTAGGCTAGGACTGAAAGTCAGACCTAAGTTGCCACAATCAATGTATGCTCACGTGATACCAGTGACTTAGGCCTAACTTTCGCCCTGGTGTACCTTGGCTACACTAAAACTCAAGATTAATAACACATTAAGTCTTCTTTTGACCTTCTTCTGAGTCCGCATTAGTTCCTTCGAGTCTTGTAGTGTGATAAGATTTCGATCTAAAAAAGCTAACAAGTGTTTTTTTTAAGCTTATTATTCGACGTTGCATTAACTGAGAATACTCTACAAGAAAATGTGCCATAAGATATATCGCAATATCCAAGCTAGTTGACTCTAGGATCTGATAAACTGCGCTGCTTGTGCACATTCGATGCAAATCGAAAGAGATAACATCAGAGAGAGTAGTTAACAAATTGAAAACGAAACAGAATCCTAAGACTGAAATGCATACCATTGCTGGTTTTAGATCTGGTATTAAATCAATAGTTGTTTGATAGATTGAACTATATATTCTCTGAGTTTGCTCAATATCTCCTGCGTTACCGCATTTTTTCAAAAGTAGTGAATACAATGGATCGGGTTTGAAGGATGTTTGTGGTTTTATTTGTTCATATAGAACTAATACTTTTTTCGGGTGATTATTTAAACTATATGAATTGATCATCATCGTGTATGCAATAATGGTTGGATTACTTATTCGTTCAAAATGTCTTCGGTCTTATCACACTCTTTGAACTTCCCATGCATGTGTATTAGTGATGTCAAAATGATTGGGTTCCCACTTAAATATTTATTATTCATTATTTCTTGATGAATTTCATTTCCTACAAATTGATTTTCTGTGCAAGTGTCAATAATCAACGTATACGTAATACCATCGTTCTCGTTCATTTGATCGGATAATTTAATTGTTTTTTCTCCCATTTTATTATGATTGTCATAAGGACATTATGCACAATTATATTGATTGTTTTGATTGAAAACAACTTCTCCACTGCGAAGATCATTGCATTTAATGTACATATTTAACAAAGATGCTGATATTCTAACATTCGAGATCAAATAGTTTTCTTTACTTAACGTGTCATGAATAGATTTGCCTAATTGTAAATTTTTCCTTGCTGTACAAGCCTGTATTGCTTGAATATATATGACACCATCAGATTTTTCTTTCATTTGGTTGTAAAATTCGAACGTGTTCTACGGCAGATTGTTTGAATTATACAATTTCATCATATTTCCAATGGTACGAACAGTATGCTCATTCATAATGTTAAACATTGACTGAGCTCCATTAAAGTGATTATATTTAATATAAAGATTCATTAAAGCACCTTATATTTTAATATCTGATTTCAATTCGTCATCTTTGTTTATTAATGAGGTATTTCCTTGAAACAAATTCAAATCTGAAAAGAGGAAACAACGTACAAAATTTTATTCAGAACGAGCACACTTAGTGAAATATGCCTGAAGAAATGCCGATCATCGACAGGTAAACAATAAAATTTGGCTTAAATGTTTGACTCTTCAGTACATTGTCGAAAATTCTTAATACCTCGTGATCTCTTCTACTCGCACGTAGCTGTTTCATTTTCATTGCCAGTTTTACAGTTGATTGATCTTCAAAATGATTTGAAGCAAAATTAGTTGCAACCATTATGTTACGATAATGAATAATAAAAACTTGTTTGGTGAGTGATAAACATCTTAATGATTTGCTTAACATGATGATCTACAATGCAATATAGACTAAATCAACCCCCATTAGAGTGCTGTTGTATAATGGACAGGTTACTGGCACATCAAGAACTTTTTTTTGATATATAAACCAATGCTTCGGAAAGTTCAGCAAAGATCATTCATGGTGAGAACTCAAAGTGAACAACAACAGTTAACAGGTAACAAACTTTTCTTTTCACTCTGTAACAAATGAGATCTATTTTTTATTGTTTCACAGAAAAAAATATCGAACAAGATAAAGAAAACAAAAAAAATTGAACGAGTATATTGACATAAAATTTACATGAAATGTATTTATCGAGTTTCTGGTTTGGGTTTTGGCGGTTTGAATAGCGTTGTTGTTGGCTTTCCTTTTGCGGCTGTTTTTGTTTTAGCTGTTGTCTGAAATGACTTCCAACTATTCACTCGAACTTCACGACTCTCCTACAAAAACAAAAACACAAAAACAAAATAATATATGCTCACAGATTTCAGACAAACTTCGTAGTTCTTGTCCCATTCCTTTCTTAATTTAGCCTTTTCTTCACCGTCGGCTTTTTCTTCAGCTTTTCGTTTTCGTTCTTCTGCTTTTCGTTCTTCTTCACGCACACGAAGTCTCTCAATATCAGCAAATAATTTACATGTCATTGACCAAAGGGCCCGTTTATACTGAAAAAATGTATAGCAGAATATTATAAGCATATTTGATTACATTTATCTTGCTCTCCTCACCCCTTCTTGACTATCTTCTTCGATTGGAAGATTTTTGTTGTCTTTCTTCAACTTTTTGCGTTTTTCACGCATCTAAAATCGAAAGTAAACGACAGTAAGTACTTAACTTTCTAAAATAGAATAAATATTATATTCTTTCTCATCGAATGGAGTAAAAGGTACATACCGATATAATTCATCAAACATAGATGGTGTAAAACCTTTTTGAATGATCACCGATCCAGAAGCACTAAAAATGATGGCAAAAACACCTGTCGACAGGACGTCAAAGGAGAGGAATTTCTGCTTTCACTAAAGTACACGGTACCTCTCTGGCTGGTTATTAAACTGTTTCGGCAGGTCATCCTCAGCTATTATTCTTTTTCTCCTATATCAGTATGTTTTTCTTACGAGACAATAAATACACTCTTACCATTTCTTCTACTCGTTCTTTCGCTTCATCAACAACTTCAAGACATTTTTTTCTTTCTTTTTCATCTTCCAGTAATTTATATGCTTTATTAACAGCTGAAATAAGCAAACATTGAAATAAATCTGGTTATGTCAAAACTGCTATAAACCGTAGTCTAAGATTGAGAGACTGGTAAGCACGATTTATCCTAGTTTCATAATACACGTGCTAGAGATTATTGGTTGCTGGATGAATAACGAGCATAGAATTTACCTTCAAATGCTACTTGTGCTCGTTCTGGCTGATTTGGATTTTTATCGGGATGAACAAGCATTGATAGCTGAAACGAAGGAATGAAAACATGTACCGATTAGAAATTTAAACATGAAAAACGTCAAATCCAGATAATACTGGATATTAGCTTGACGAAAAAATTCTCTGATAACAAAAAAGAAAGCTCAGAACATGTTTCGTTTGTGTTTGGTTTGGAGTGTCTAACTTACTTTTCGGTATTGTTTTGCAATATCTTCAAATGCTAAATTTGGATCAATTTGGAGAACCTGAACATAACAAAATCATGAAGTTATATGCAAAAATCAATACTAGTATTACTTGCTTCAAACGGATTTAAATTGAAATAAGTAGCACCCGGTCTGAGTAAACGGTCGATTTGTTGGATCGGTGTCAAAACTGAGTCACGCTTTTCAATTTCTTTTACCTAATAAAAGTAAAATTACAAAGTAATCGAACAAAAACGAACAAACAAATAACTTACTTCTGTGTAAAATTCATTAAACAACTCCTCAGTTTTAATGGCAGGAATATCTGTTGTTGTTTCAGTTGTCGTAAATGACGATATTGTTATCGATGGTTCTTGTTTAATTGTCTCAGGCAGCGGTTGTGACGGTGTTGGTGTTGTGGCAGGAGGAACGCTCGGATTCATTTCTTAATCTAGAGAAAAATTTCAGCATTTACCCAAGTGTTTCTCTTCGAATTGCGCTAGAAGGAAACGATCTAATGCAAGCTAAAACAGGGAATACACTAATATACTATTTATAGGACAAGTCAGTAGAATTGCTTCAACAACGCACTCAAGTAAGCTCTAAGGAAGTTGTTTCAGTGGGTGTAGCTCAATAGATATTTGATGAGTAAACGTACTTATTGTATACTGATTTACATACTGATGCATCGGTATGCAATAATAGTGTCGTATGACACTGTCAAAAAACGAAAAGCAAGAACTGAAACGCATGTACGGATGGAAGGTCAGTGGGGAGGCAAAGCGTTTTGATAATATTACGTTTTCATGACTATTCTTACGTAGTGCCTAAACACTCAAGCCTCGACTAAGTCAAGCATGTAATACATTCTTGTTATTTCATCAAAAATCTTAGGTGTCGACCTAAGTTTGTGTTCGTGGCTTAGATTTGTCATAAAGCCATAGAAAGTAATCTTAAGTTAAGCACTTCATTGCTGTAGAACAGCACACTAAAACAAACTAAATGTTAGTTCACTCACAGATCGATTCTCTGAATCCTGATTCGCGACCAAATGGAGACGGTGGGTAAAATACAGATTAATCCTGCGATAGATCGAGACTATCAGTGAATGCCATCTATGACGAAAAAAAGCAGATTTTCTACCAGTTTAAGTTTTAAGTGTGCTTCTCTATTGGGATTTTGTAGAAAAGCATAAGGTTTACTTCTAACAATAGAAAGAACCGTAACTAATCGGATTAGATCCTAAGTCGTTGCTATGCAGTACTATTTTTGTTAAAGAAGAATGGTAAATTGACGTAACAGGACATGGGTCATAACTAGGCATCCATAAATTTTATCCATAAATCTCTACTGTCAACGTGAAATATGGAAATTTTACAGCGACAGTAGAGAATTCACTTTAGCTGTTCAAACGGTTTCGAGAATGGCCGCTTAGAGCTCGCAAAAGACGGTTTTACCCGTTTTGGGTTACAACCAACAGAAAGCGCCATTGAAGCTTGTCTGAACTCTACAAGAACAAGCTCAAAATACATACTATTTTGCGCTAATACCACGGCATCTGATACCTATTTTTGAACTTTATGAACTGTACGCACGAAAACTACATGTGCAATTTTCCAGATATTATAATCTTAGATACTTTTTGTCAATATTCTTGCATGCTTTTCACTCACAAAAGTCGATGGAAAAAACTGGGCACAGTTCTTTCCTATCAAAGTTCGTCTTTTAGAATAGGATGTAAACGCTTTGAGCAAAAAGTTCAGATCAGTGACTGTTTTCGGTTCTAATTTTGAAAACCTTTACATCTGAAAAGTTTTGTTCGATAAGACTTTGTTCATATAAAATTAGATATATAGAAAGCTTTTTTTAACATCAATTCTTTTTACACAGATTGGAAATTGACAAAAATATATTAAAAAAGTCGATAAAATTTGATTTCAGAGATTTATGTAATCGGTGCATATTTAGTATCTACATATTCATCAAAAATACATGTTTGGGGTATATCAATGCTGACTTCGGTTGACCGTTCTGATGTTTTTGCTTCCTCGTGGAGATTACGGTATCAGATCGACGCTGAGAAAGTTCCAAGTTCACCAGAAGATGTCTTATGCCTCTTTAGCGTGTTTGTTTTTCATCTTGTTTAATTCTTTTTATCAACATAACCTATATCTATTTTTAATTGTGCAATACCACTTCAAATGATAAATTCTAATTCAGCGTTCATATAGTTTACTCTCGAGATTACGGCGATTATTGATCGAATGATGTTGAATTTCGGTTATTCTATTAGACATGCTGCAAATTTACAGGCATAATGATTTCAATTTTGTACAAATCATCAGCATAATTTAGATGAGCGTCAATATCAATCAACAACTTCGATTATTTGAGTTGGAAAAGGAACATGTAGACGCATATCGTTAGAACAACAACAACGTTTCGAAAGATGATAATTTGAACAAAGCAATTTCGGCACGTGGTTTTTAGGCAGGATCTGTGTTATTTTGAAATATTTAACAAATTCATGTAAAAACGAACGTTTTTGATAGAAAAAAACTGTTAGGAACGATCCTTATGTTCCTATACAAAATTCTCATTGAATTACATGTCTTATGTACTCTCTTTTCACTTATAGTGGTAGTAAGGGAGAAAGAACGAGACTCATGTGTCCCAAATATTAATGAAAATTTTCCTTACAGCCGTTGAATATGATCTGAATTTATAGTTATTTAAGTATATGTATTTCTTTCTGTCAAGCACTGTACACATATTTAATCGCATAGGTGCCTGAACGTATAATTTTTGTTCTAGTGTTGATTCGGCTGTTTTACAGATCAAATTAATATGAAATTTATTATACACTGTTAGTCATTGCTCAACTCATTTGTAACCATGTAACAAATATTTTTCATCGTGCTAAAAATCACGTACAAAAAGTTGTCGGTTGACACCTGACGTTTATATGTTTTCATCATCAAACAACTCATTTTTTGCATATGAAAACAAAAATATTCAATGTCTGTCTTATTCACATTTCACACTTTGTCCATTCATCGACCAAAGGCCATTCTATCCTGTTGACGTTTCTTGTTTCAAGAGTCTGAAGTGAAGTCAAGAAAAGATATCCATCGTTTAGACATTTAACCGTATGTTCATTACTTTAATAAAGAAATGCACAATGAAAATGTACGATTGAGTACAATTAATGATATTTGTTTAATAAGTCACAATTTATTGTTGTAGTTTGTTGTTTCTCAAACTCAATATGATGACGTAAGATTAGACAAAATAGAAAATGTTCACACCATTCTCATATTGTCACTATATCAGAGACAAGTAGATCAAGCATATTCAAAGAATCTAATTCTTATAGACATAGTGTTTGTCTACTCTTTCCTATGATGTTTAATAATAAGACAAACACACTTGGTCTTTCTATCAAAAATAGAATGTTGAATGTGTTATACATAGTCTTAAATTAGAAGATAGCACTTTTTTGACAAGTAACGACAACAACGTCAAGTATCACAGAAGAAGTCATATCGATTGATACTTTGTGTTTTTCAAAGCTAAGTCCTATTGATGAGCCGAAAAAAGATAAGACCATCCACCTAAAAAGTATTTTTGCACTCATTGTTTACTTATTGAATCAGCTAAAATAGAGCAAAATAATATGCAGAGTTGAAGTTTGAGCAGTGATTTTATTAGTATTCTTTTTTCAAAGTATATTAATATGCTTTTTGAGATATTTACATTTTATTGTCATAGTCAAAGTAGGACTTCGCAAAAAACACATTTTATTAAAACAACTTGAAAAAGAGTTCTGAAACATCAGTACGAGAAGTAATATTTTTCAGATTTATCGGGTCTAATCGCTTGAACAGAAACTTTTGCAAACTGTGGTTTATTTAAGATGGATTATTATCTAACAGCATTCACTATATTTTTTCTGAAACTATTGACTGTTTCGTGATGCGATGATCAATAGCAAAAAATTTATCATTCGTTCATTCACTGACAAGATGACTAGAAGTCTAATCTAGACAGTTTTTACACTGCATCTTTTTTGTGTTTATTTGAAATATGAACTGTTTGTTTAAAAAGACTACTCGGAAATTACCGGAAAAACTGATCTTATAAGTGTAGATAACTAATTGAAGACGAGATAAATTGACTGTACTTGTGTTTTTCTTATTATCATTTAAGAACAGGTAAATATATATACTTATAAATTTATCTTTAATGGCAATAATAAAATAAGACGTCTATCTTATTTAAGAATCTTAATATAATTTAATTAAACTTTGACTTACTGTAGGACTAATCATTGCAAATTTCGTTGCTCGTGTGTTCTTGTGAAATTGGCGTACGTAAACAAATGGTTATAAAAGAAATTTTTGTTTGATGATTGTTTCTCTTTTCATCATAATCAACAGTATGTTATCGACACAATTATTACACTAAACGATTACAGTCTAGGTGAATAAAGACAAAACTGGGCATATGAAAGATAAAATACTCAAAATCATTTTTTTTTATTCAGACCTAGGCTGATGAAAATGGTTATATCGATGAATCGTCTTTAAGTAGATTTTACAATATTAATGATGCTCATTAACGGGCTAGTATGATTGAGCTCAAAAGGATTGGACTTTAATTTAATTGTACAATTTTCTCACGATCTATAAGTGTGTTTGTCATATTGGCTAATTTTCTATAAAATGGCAATGAAAGTAACAATAATAATTTTTTCAATGTCTGACATGCCTATGAATAAATGATCTGTATGAAACAATGAGATAACAGCACGATATAGACCCAATCTTTACGACTATCTTAACGATCGTATGTATACAACGTCGGGAAAAAAACGATGTATAATTAATTGAGTGAAATAAACCGATTGACAACCTATAGTGACCTAATCATCGATAAACCAGGTTGAGTTGATGAAACATATTTCATATCCTGGTGTGTTTATCGAATAATGAAATGGTACGTGAATTATTTTTACAGGTATAAAATATGTTGTTCAGCCATTTTGTCTACAGAAAAAAATCTAAGAGCAATTAAATTATAACAATAAAATATATATTCCCATATATATAAATAGTTGTCATATTAATTATCGGTCACATCAATATACTACAACAAAATCATATGTTGTTCATAAAACATTGATTTGACAAAGATCATTACGAATCGATTATATTCGTGATGTCGTATGTAATTATGTAATATTGAATATATTTTTTATCTGTCTGAATAGATAGATAGTTCTAAAGGTTCTTTCATTACTACAAAAGATTGACTAATCAATAATAATTATCAAAAATGAAAGTTCTTTCTTCATATTTTGTCATAATTACACAAACAATCAAGATGAACTTTTTCTGATAAAACTAAAGAATTTTTTTTTACTTGATGCAGGTATGCTGTTATTGAAATATCATGCTGCTTCAGGCATGTCTGCTGAATATTTTTGATGAGTAGAACAATTAGTATATTAGATGTTTGACATCTCCTTTTAGAAAGAGCATGTAATTACCACCTACGATGTTTTGATATGTTGAAATATGTGTGTATTTATTATAGCAGGTCAGTTGATTTATCCACATGATCATTAGCGATATACTGACCGATTTCCAGCGTTTGTCAGTTAAGTGATATGTTAAAATGATCATGTATACTATTGTTTTTTCATGCATTTCTTATCAAAACAAATTAAATGATTTTGTTTTTTTGCTTTTAAATGATGAGACAAGTGTATACAGTTCAATGAATGAACTTTTTAAAAATATTATTCACTCTATAAGTTGAGGAATGACGCGGCTCTGTATGTTTAAACTAAAAAAAACCTGATAGATGATTGTACGAATAACATGATTTACTCTCGTTTCCTCCCTTATATTTTCTATTGTTCTAGTCATTTTATAACTATCTATTTCTTTCTATCAACTAATTAATATTAATTAACACAGTAGTTTTACAGTATTAAAATGTATTTGTTACATTTAATTGTAAGTTCAGTTCCAGACAAAAGCACCATTCTCATATCTTTTGATTGATAATCGTTAAAATTAAGAATTTGTCCACTACGTTTTATTTCTGTATAAAACATTATTATTATTACCAAAGAAAAGTATGTTGAATAAGTGTATAAAGTAATATTCAGTAGTGCCATAAGAGCATATGATAGGCGATGAAATAATGTAACAAAGAGACGATCATCAGTTGTTATTGATGTTGGTTTAGAAAAGGAACTCAATAATTAATTATATTAATATTGATTAGTATACATACCGTTGATAGAAAGAAAATAGATAATTATAAAATAAATACAACAAATAGAAAATATGAGGGACGAAACGGGAATGAGATGAAATGAGTTGAATGAAATGAATTAAAAAAAATAGGACGAAACGATAGGATACCAATAACACATAAACCATTAAATGGTAAGACAAAAAAAAATTATCCAAGAAAATAATTTTCTCTAGTTTGATCTCAGTATGCGCTTCTTTTCATGCATAGGTCTAAAGTAGCTCGTAAGTTTTACTGCATTCATATGTCTGTTTTTGTTCTATGAACAATAGTCAACTTATTTGATGTTCAATCAGAAATTAATAAAAATGTGTGAATATGATATTTTTAAAATGTTCAATGTTCTTATCGCATAAATGATAATGATACTGTCGGTTTTTGACGACAATGATTTTATCATTAAATATTATTGATACGATGATGTGCTTTCTTGAGAACACTAACGGTCTGTTAGAAAAGAATGATAATGGGACATGAAACAATTGTTCATCCTCCAAATGTTAGTTATAGGAATATATAACTGATGAAGCATTTTATGAGCACACATCACTATGTTTGCAAGAAGAAAACAATTGACACGTTCTCTCTTTTGCCAACTACAAGAATTCAACAAAACTTTTATTATCAATGCTACTGTTATTACCATCAGCTCTCTGTAACCATATCACCGTAGTGTTAGATTCTTTCTTTATTCACCAAATAAACTTAAACTTTTGTGACTAATTGTAGTCTATGTTGTTAAACTCTTGGATAACTAATAACTTCTTGCTGACTGAATCAGGCTAAAGGATACCAAAGTTGGACGTTTTGTAGTAGGATCATACAACGAACCTAATAAACAAAAAGTCTGAAAACATTTTCCTTTTTTGACTAAATCAGAATATAGTAACAGTAAAATGTGTTCTCTGATTCTGTATTTTTTCAGATCTTTCTCATTATTTCAAGACAAAAATTATTGATGAAACTGTGAGTCTCTTTAAAGATTTTTATACATCAAGTTGAAATATTTACATTTTCCTGTCGGTGTTAATATTTCGGAGATAAAATGCTTCTGATATATAATCTAAGAAATCAGATCTTTTTTCCTCAGATTTAAACGTTTCGTGTGTGAAGACACGAAAGTGTTCGGATGGTTGACTAAGTCTGAGACTGCCTGGCATTTTTGATCAAAGTCGATATTAGTGTGATTTAAGAAGTAAATTAAAGACAAACAATCAGTCTCGTTGCACTTTAATGTCAGACGCATCTTGAATTATGAGCATATGCGTCATCGATATGATTAGAGAAGATGAAAGTATAATGATCATTCAAAAGATTATTTACACAAAAATCATGCTACGTATACGGTTAGGACGCTACCTATTACGGCGAGTGAGTATTTAACATGCTTTCCAGTTTGAGAGATTAAAGTAAATTTCAACACTCTTTTCTTTTCCTCTTAATTTCAAACTGTTTCTCTCTAACACTATACATGAGGCAACACTTGATACCTCTATAATAATGACTAACCTCTGGTCATGTAACGTAACATGTTATCAATGATCTTTAAAAATAATAAATGAATTTAAATTGAATAGAATAATCCTAGTCAAAATAAACGAAATCAAAACTGTGCTGCTAAGTACACATACATCTGCTTCATATGTAGCTCAATATAGGTACTAAAATCGATCGTCCCCTTTTTTCCCTCGCGGTAAAAATCACACTGAAGATATGAACGTTATGTATTTTATAATTAATAAGTTTATGAATAAGATTAAAATTAAAATCAACAATTTTAAGCTATTCACTCTTTGCAGTAATTGAACTAAACTACAGATAATAATAGATATCATGGTAGCGTAATAAACTGCCGAGAAGTTTCAGAGAAATGATAAAAATTTGTTGATTGGAAAAATATTTTTAATTTCATTTACTTTACGATATTTTTAAGTTGGTGTACAGACTGTAATTTATGAGAACTATTTGGTATTAAAGTTGATTTAAACTATATTCTTTCAGCATACAAATGAAAGTAAATCTGTTCTAGTATTCTGAAATTTTAACTCATGAAAATGAAAAAATCAATTTTGTTCCAATATAAACAAAAACATTTAAACATAGATTTGCTGCAAACTGCTAAAGTTATAAGTGAAAAGTCAGTAGATTCTCTGATACTTCTACTTGTAATTATGATGCTTCGTTTTTCAAAAATATCTGTAATCTAAAATGAAATAACATCCACATGTTTAAATTTCTTTCTAAAATTCAACTATTCTTGGTAATTCATTTGTATCATTTTCTGACTTATTTTTTTCTCATAGAAGTTCAAAAATTACTGATTAAAATGAGCAATAACATTGTCTATGTGTTTCTCATATTATCATGCTCATTTTATTATAAATTTTTTCTTCTGAAATTTTAGAAGAAACGAGCCTGTGTTTTTTTTGTACGTGCGTATGGTCAATATCATTTTTATCATTTCAAAAATACAATTGGTGTATATAAATTTGTTTTTTCGTTCTCTATCGTATTATCAGTCTATATAATATGATTAAAATTGTTTTCCTCTTTCTTTTTTAGACTATTACTTATTTAGTTGTATCTATCTATATACGAACGTCTATACTTGGCACTTAACTAATTGAACCAAAAGAAATTCGATAGAGAGAAAAATATTTTTCTTTTCAATCTTGTTATGGATAGACATTAGAGACTTATTAATTATTCAAACGACGCATGTCCAACATATCAAGTTTGTTTTAACAACTTTATAGTTAAATAAGAATTATATACAGAGAGGTGAGATAAATAAAAAATCGTTGATATTGATTTTCACAATTCAAAATTAAATTTTTCTAAAGTTAACATTTTTTGAAAATCTAACACAAATTTTATGCATTAAATGCAATTTTATTTTTTAAAATTTAGATTTGATTTTGAAATTATTTTTAAAAATGGGATTAAAACCTAAAAATTTCATTCGTCGTTTATTTCATAATAAAACTCATTATCATTATCGTCATATTGTAAATACCGTAAAAATTTCAACACATGATCAATCGGTCCAAACAAGTTTCAATGATACACAATTAACAACAACAGTAATCGTCAATAGTCGTCGTTCTCGAAAACATTCATCTACTACATTATCGTCAACTACACCCAAAACACGTCGTCGTTCATCTTTAAAAACATACATATCGATCTATTCACCGAAAATAGTACCGTTAATAAATCGTTCAATCCATCGTCGTCGTAGTTATGATTTTGATCTCAAAATGCCCAAACGACTTAAGTGTGAAAACTCAGTAAGTTTTTATTTTATCTGTAAATTATATAAAATTGAAATATTTAATTTTATTTCTTTTTTAGAATGTTGCTTTAATCAGAAAAATTCGTCCAATTACAACTGAATGTGAATTATATGAAAAACCATTGTCATTAGTATCAATTGAAACAAAAAAATTAGATAACGATACAACACTTGTTCCAAATCATCGAAAACTTTATCATGATTCATGGGAATTTTTGTGTGATACTCATTCATCTACGAACAAATATAGCAACAATAACATGTCATTTCTTAATTCCAAAGAAGAACAAGAACAAGTAGATGAAACGATCAGTATGCAAAATCAAAATGAACATTTTTCTGTTGGAACAATTGGACCGTTGACATGGAGGTAAACTAGAGAATTAAAAATTTCTTTATTTTGAGTTTAGTAAGAGTTCAAACTGTTGTATAATGATAGCCATCTCTCTATTCATCCTTTTTTCTATTCCGTTTTAGTACACCAATTCATACAGCATCATTCAAAGCTTCAAGCCCTTACAGTCAAAATCCTTATCGAGAAATGAATTTATCATTCTCAAATATATTTAATATTACCTGTCTAGACTAAATGAATGAAATTTTTTCTCAATTGCAAATTGTATTGCATCGTTTTATAATTGAAAATAGCATTCATTGCCTTTATTTTTGTTTTATCCTTTCTATGTAAAGTATAACGAATTTTCTATAAATAAATTCCTTTTAAACTGAAACACAAATTTGAAAAATCATTACTTTGCCTCTTTTGTTTGCTAGTTGTATGTCAACTATGTTCTGTCGGAAAGTGAGAAATTTTATTTATCTTTCATGGTGTATCGGCGTGTATGTTGGCCAGTAGAGGATCAATTAGCATATAAGTGATGTGTGTATCACTTTAGAGCTTCAATAGTTGGTAAAAGATTTTTTGGTTTCTTATTAAATTCCATGGTGTTGAAGAAATTCACTAAGAAATAAAAATATAGTCATGTATAGTTTTTGAGTTTGACATACGTTAATTTGTTGTTGTTTATGTGTAGTCATCAATAGACATTTTTTCATAATTTAGCATTCTGCAAACATCTGATATACACAGTTTAAGTTTAAAACCTTCAAAATATTGAAAGAATAGTGTTTACGATAGAAAGATTCATAACTTTTCTTAGAATAAACTCTACTAACAGCTAAGATCTATATGAATATCAGCTTGTTATGGTATTTTGTTAAGATGCACCCAGGGCAGCCTTGCAGTGAAATTTATTTTTCGACACTTCATACACCATTCGATAGAGAATTTCGCGGTGATCACGAATATCACTTCCAAGGCTCTCAGAACCCTTTCCTCACTGAG